GATGTCCATCGCCAAAATATGAGTGTTCAAGTTGTGTGTATAGGTACTCGTGAGATGTACTTGTTTCCATTCTGTGTGACCGATTCTAACGTGTAACATCTGTTTTCCATAAAACTATCGATAAACACATAAACTTTGTACTTACATAATATATATATATATATATTTATAAGAAAAATCTTGTCGTCTCATTAATCAGACAGACGGATTGTATCCCATGACTGGATGATACTCATTGATGAATGGATATAAAAAATATAAAAAAAACACACAGGTGTTCTTCTACGGCGTCGTGGAATCCCACGTACTAGAGATTCCGTTTATCCTCTTGAACTACTATGTATACATTATTTTATTTTTATTTTTTTTTTTTTGTATACTAATAATTTGTTCGCAGTCACCGTGATTCGTCAGCATTCGTGTCATAAATCATTCAACCGTGGCAGAATCTATCTCGTTGTTAACCTATATATTTTCTGTGCTGGCGTATTATCGTTTTATATTATTATCATTCAATTGCACGCCCGCCAGCGCCATCGAGAGTCTATCACATTCTCGTTGTACCTACACCTATTTGTTTACCGATTTGCTCGCGGGTCTCATAATATCATTATTACTATTACTTAGGTATTATTTTATTTTTTTAGATATTGTCCGACCCCGATTCCTCCTGTGCAACAGCGACGGCGACGGCGGTCTAACTGTTTACTATCAAAACACAATAATGACTAAATAATAATAATAATGTACACACACACACACACACACACATGGCATTTCTATTCTTTGCGGCCGTAATAGGCTGCAGACGAGACAACCGTAATGTGTACCTGTACCCACTGCTCGGCAAATATAAACCGTGGAAATCAATTTAACCGATAGTTTAACACCTTCTTCGAAGACGATATAAGTAACTCTCGATCCGTGAAAGATGCACGAGGATGTCTAAGTCGCAGTGATAAAATAACTTTTAAATAAACGCTTCGTCGCGAATCCGTACTTATAGATGATAGAATATAATATATATATATATCTATTTATATGATATAGGTAAGGTTTATTGTTGCAATTAAACCACTGCATATTTATTTAAATTTAAATTTCTAATTGAATTAGTTGTTCGTAATGGGATAATTAAAGTTTTGCTCTAGAAATTTAATCGTTTTGTCTTACTATTTACATAATAATATGTATTATAATCAAAGTACTAAACAGTTTGTTTAAAAATGTTGGTTGAAGTTGTTACTATTTATAAAAAAACAAAGAGGGAGTGCGCTCGGTTATGGTTGAGGATTGTGCATGTGGTGTAGCACTCACACCTACAATATTATATTTTTGTACTTAGGGTTGATCGTCTATTAAAATATTTTTCTTATACCTGTCGACTGTTGATTCATTCACACGTAGCAGCCTGGAAATGAAAGTTTTACACTAACTTAATTGTCGCCTTTTGAGTTTCAAGCTAAGAAGGCATTGTTAGTACAATGATGTGTTTTTTATCCACCTTAATATTAAAAAAAAACATTTTGTTTTGTTTTAAAATAGTATAGAATTTATATTTTGTCATTAATAAATTATATATTATGTATACAAATAATAAAATGAAAGAATATAGTAAAATATTTGTAATAATATATTATGATAAATTAATTTGCTAACAATCAATGAATTTCTTTAATACTAACGCGTTGACATAAATGTATTTATAATAATAGAGTGAAAAATTTATATTAAAAAACGATACTTAATACACCTTTGTTTGAAGATCTATCTCCTAAAAACCGGTACAGATTTTCCATATTGTCATTTTTATACTTCAAATGCGATTTAAATATTGAAAAATCGGAAGAATCTCTAAATGTGTATGTAACAACTTGAAGAAATTCATTAACTATTTCTTCTGTAAGTGTACCGTGTAATTCCGTAAACTGTACAGGTGATAAGCTTAACGATGTCGCAATAGCGTTATGCTCGTTTTTAATGGCATTTTTCGAGTTTTCAGATTGGTCGTTATTTATCATTTCAACTATACTGCCAAAAAAATCATCTTCTTTCAAATCCAATGCACTTATGAACGTATTCATAGTAGTGTTTAACGATCGTATGTTCATGTTGTCCAAGTATGTCCAGCTAATTCGTAGCACGACCAGTTTAAATATATCAATAACCGTATGATGGACTATTCCGAAATTTGGCTGGACATTAATCTCTTTGACTTGATCGACGAATCGTGTATTCACAAGCGATGCGCGAATTTCTCCCCAAGCGTCCCTTCCAACGTATTTGCGGCACCATTTTTCGACTAAGTGTTCAGCGGTATCGTACTTATAATGCAACAGATACGTCAAATACTCTCCGGAAATTTTCTCGTTTCCTTTTTTCAAACTTTTGCATTTATAACTATTATGCGTGTCAAAATTCTTCCATAGATAATTATTTACTTTCAACACTAGTATCGTTTTGTTAATAAAATCAAAAGAACCGGGTAAATCTGTTTCAATGTCCGTTACATAGTCTGTGTAGTGTTTGCAAGTATTGGATTTGATGTAAAAAAAATTTCGACTGTCGCAATTTAATTCGAAATATTTGTCCAGCTCTTCTAGGACAAAGTCGTGCATTTTAATAATCCGGTTTTTATTCGTTTGTAAACTTCGTATAAAAGTGTCGACGTCCGGGTATAAAAAGTTTTCCATTTTCCTAACCAAATCGTAGACCAGCCATACCTCGTACATTTGAATTCCTTTTACACCAAAAAAGGTACGAACCATATTGACTGCTGCTTCCAAGAAGCTTATTCTAAAGACTTCAATGCTTTCATACGGACTGGGTTTTGACATGTTATGCATTTCTCTGACTATTGAAAAATGAAAATGCGCATTGAATAGACAACTGCATTTAAGTTCGTTAAACTTTTTGATTTTACCATTCTTCAGATCCTTAAGAGACACATCAGCCGTTTTTACGTTGTCTGGATAAACGTCGCCAGTGACAATTAATTGTACTTCATCTAACTCCTCTAGTTGATCAAGGATATGCGAATATACCGAACGAATATTCTGTACTTGGAGTATGAAAAGTAAATAACATGCCGCACCACGTTGTTTTATGAACATATTTAATGATATATCTCGCAAAACGATTAACTTGGACTCAATATTGAATTAAATTTAACCACGAAACGCAAAGATGAACACCGTGTAAAGTGTATATATCAAAAACGAATAAAATAACATGCGTTGTATTGTTAAAAACTAAAAAAGCTGTACAATGTAAAAGTACAAGAACATAATTCTTATTTTTCTTATACTGAAAAAATGGTATAAAATATATTCGTTACACAACTGTTTGGATTTTGTTGTTTTTTATTTGGGTAACCTATAAATTATTCGAGCTTCATAGTGCAGCTGAGAAAATATTGTTCTTACAGTAATGTTTTTTTTTTCCATTTTCTATTTCCGCATTTGAACCCACTACATCTCCTAAGCAGCTGAACCGATATTTTCATCCTTAAGTCTGTAAATAGATTATAAATCGTACCTAAAAGCTACTTTATTGTTTCAAGAGTTTAAACATTTCACCTCTTCAAACCTAAGAAAAATGTCCAAAAAAATTGACCTACTTTGAACTTCAAATAACGTTATCAAACCAAAATAATATCAAAAACCCTTTTCCCTCAGAAGTGGTGGAAACTTTTTCTTTATTTCGCTTTTTTAGTTGTAGTTTAGGGCTTAAGGTCTAAAACGTAGTCTGGTAGTAGATTTGAAATGGGACTATGCAATTTGTTCACAAATTTGTAGTCAACATTTTTTTTTTATTAAGAGAAACACAAAAAAAGAATAAATTGCGCTTTAAGCGTGGTAAATTTCTAAGTTGCTAAGTGAGATTGAACCAATCAGACACTAGATTTCTACAAAATAGTTTCATTGCGTTAATTGCGATAAATTGGAAACAACGGCAACAAACTATTGCATCTTCCGTTATACCAAGAATATAGTTTGGAGCATATTATAGTTTTTACAATGTTTTATTTGTTATTCTTGTATTTCTACCATCTACAGATATTTTGCATTGATGCGTTTATTTTTAAGTAATTTTATCTCTTTTAGTTATTGTTGTTTACTGTTAAAATATGGGACAAGCCCAAAATATTAGACAGTACATTTTTATATGTATGTACAGTGCACGGTAACATAAAAAAAAAGAAAAATAATATTTACAACAAATGGTGTTTGAATATACAAGACTAAATTAACAGATGAAAAGAACTAAAAACTTGATTTATGGCATACAAAATAAAGAGCCGGTAGTGGCGATTCGCATCATAGAGATTATGGGAGAATTTTGGTGATAGTTTGTAGAGGAATAGAGGATTTGAAAAGGACATGGGAACGTGTGGACCGAGCAGGAACTTTACAATTCACAAGAGATAGTATGTCAGGAGAGTCAATTTTGCCTGAAAGAAGACCAAATAAAAAGGAATGGTTCAAAACATGCCTGCGATCAGCGAAACTAGATAGATTAAAAAAATGAAGGACAGGATCGTAGTTGTAAGACGAAGGGCACAGGATACCGAGCAGAAGTAGATGGATCCCAGTATATATGTATGTACAACGTTTCCATCCCTTCTAGGGAAAAGGGTTTATGATATTTTAATTGGTTTGTCAAGTAATTTGGCTATTAAAAAAAAAAAAATCTATCAAAATGTTAATCATCATTTTTTTAAAAAGATTTAGCAGTTATGTCAAAAAAATATATACATTTTTTTCTCGACTTTGAAAGGGAATAGGTGAACTTTTTACATTTTCGGCCCATTCAACTACATTTTGGGGGGTTTCATTTATAATCTACAGTTTAGGAGATATCTTAGGTCAAGACACAAAGAAATATAAAATAAAAGCACATCGTTGAAAAAACAATACCTTTTCAGCTCCGCATCGAAGCTAAAAATGTAAAACTAATATACAGTGGATTCATATTATTTTGTACTGTTTTTTTTTCAGATAAATAAAATATGATTAAAGTTAAAAAACAGCGACCGCGTTTAACGAGATGACCAGTTGAAAAGCAGCAAATAATGTCATCGGCCGAGGACGAAATATGGTCGTCTGTTGGTATGTTTGGAAAATTGTTTATTTGTCCATAGTTGTGGTCGCTCTAGCTCAGATTTCTGCGGCCAACAAATCCCCTCAGTTCGTCACCGACAATTGGCAAACCGAAATCATAGTCCGGCTGAAAGAAGGTCCAGACACCCCTGTCGGTAAGTAACACAAGTAAACTTAAATTTTAGTGTTTAGAAAAGCTGTATGAAAACAGTAATTTTTGTATACAAGTTTTATGGAAGACTTTATTTAATTTAAGTATTGCCCAGGTTGGTTAATGACTCGTTGGATATTCCTCTGTTTACAGGAAGTCTTATTTACCGCGTGCGCGGAATAGACCCGGATGGCGACAAGTTATCGTTTGGCGTTCGAGAACCTGGCGACAAAATTATCAGAGTTGAATACTATAGCAAGAACGAAGCCAACATTTACCTCAAAACCGAACTCGATCGAGAGGTAATTGTATTATTTATTGTTCGCGAACCTAAACAATTTATTAACAGTAACCTCTAAAAACGTTATCCCCATTTGAGATCACAATTGGCGTTTTTTAATTACAACCCACCACGGACCGAGTAATATTGCAGTTATAAAATAGAAACTATGTTAAAAAAAAAAAGAAAAAAGTCACATTTTGGCCACTCTTTATAATCATATTCGATTACCTAGTTATTTTTTAAAATTATTCTAAGAGGGAGAGCTTTAGGCATTCGACAAAGGTTCCTAATTGTGTAGCCGATAATTACACATTACAGTTTAAGATTTGGCAAAAAATTGCCTTTATCTAACCTGCTAATAAACAGCAGGTAAAACGTTCTCTTGAGCTTCTACACCCAATGTTCGACCATAATATATAGGTTTGTACGGTTTTCAGTTTTGACTATGTGTGTGTGTGTTTTTTTTTTTCTAAACAGACAAAAGACGAATACTCGTTGGTTTTGACTCTGACCGACGGCCGGTTGGGCGAAGGTAACTTCATCACTCAGAGTTTACTGTTGATCGTCGACGATACAAACGACAACGCGCCGATTTTCAAACCGTATCAAAACACAATATTCGTGCCGGAGGACAGCCAGCCAACGGTGATAGCAACGGTCGAGGCTACCGATGCAGACGAAGGCCCGTATGGACAGGTACATCCAAACTCGGCTAACGCACACAATATAATGAACACAGTGTAAAACACAAATTATCGGGGTTTCACGGTCCGCCGACAATTATTATATTACTTCCCATGTAGGTTCGTGTCCGCACACCGGGCGCTGTTTAATTTTCACTATTTATGTATTCATCGAACCGTCGCAATACGGCCGGTGTGAAAATACAATGGGGGGGGGGGGGTTTATATTAGTTATTCCAAAATAATACACTGTATTGTGGTGCGCACACCGTGTGTCGTCCCTGTAAACGTGTGTGTTCGGGGTGTGTGCCTAAAACGACACCGACAGCGTGACGTCATACATAAGTCACTTCCTCCCGTATTCGTACACGGGATGTAGGTATACTGCTGTTTTTTTTTTTTTTTTTTAACAAAAACCAAATACTTTTTGGCATACGGATCTAGTAATAATTGTTCGACAGTAATATTATTAACGGCGAGAATTGTATAGGTGGTGTACCATTTACAAGACACGGACGCCGTAGAAAGTGGTCTGTTTTCGATATCGACGGTGAACGGCCAAGGCGTGATTCGCCTTGTGGGAAGATTGGATTATGAAAAAAATTCATTACATCAACTCAGGGTGTTGGCTGTGGATCGTTCGACCGTTGAAAAGGTTCGTGCACCATTATAACGACGAAATAATACGACGGCAATATTAATAGAGATCTATCAAAGTCGATTAATATGTGTTATGTAAGGCATGGGAAGGTATGGGGTAGTGATAAGTGTGAATGAGATAGGTATGGGACGGTGATAAAGAAAAATCGATACTTCCTGGATAACTAATAAGGGAATTGGCTGTAAAGAGATCAGTGTTGAGAGAATCAGTTGATTTGAGGCAGAAAATCAGCGATCAGTATGTCTTAGGATCGAACAAAACATTTGCTCCATTGATGACATAATCTAACCAAACCTTCCTGGTACGAATCCAAATTTATTTATCGATATTCTTGTTTCACTCCTCAACCTTTTCTCGACTAATTTGCAATTCGCTATTAATATTATTTAATTAATATTATTCGAAAAATCCAGAGAAACACCGGCACCGCAGCAATTTTCGTGAAAGTCCAAGACGTAGAAGACCAACCACCCGAATTCGTCGTTGTCACTCCAGTCGCCAGGGTCAGCGAAGACGCTCCCGCAGGAACTTCAATTCTTCAAGGTGTGTACCATATTATTATAATAGAGTATCTACTATTTTTTCCATATTTAACTGCAACGATTTTTCGCTTCCCAGTGAAAGCCATCGATGGCGATCGGGGTGTAGATAATCGCATAGTATATTCGATTACACGCGGTGGCAATGGAATGCTCGAAGTGGAACCCAACTCCGGTATTGTTTATACCACGAGCGTCCTTGACCGCGAAGATCCTTTTATCATCAAAACCGGAGCTATTATCATTGAGATCATGGTATAATAATAATCGTTATACTCGCGTACCGATGTGTGATTCGCATGTAACTCTACTCAAGTGTTTTCTGTATGTGATAGGCCACCGAAGATTCGAAAAACATTTTCCCCAACCCTTCGACGAAAACCGAAGTGACCGTCATCGTGACGGACGTCAATGACGAAACTCCGACGTTTCGCAGTCCTTACTACATTGCAGAAATCAACGAAAACGCTCAACAAAACACGCCGGTGAACTTCATCGGCAACATCATACCTCAAGTGTACGACTACGACCAGGGCAAGAACGGTACGTTCCGGTTGCGAATCCAACAAGGCCGCAACGGATACTTCGACGTGACACCGTCGGAAGGCATAAACGAAGCGTCGTTTCTCATACGCGTTAACAGAACGGCCGACCTGGACTACGAGCAGATCAAAGGTAACGGTCTTAATTATTGTTCAACTCGTGCCGCTGTCGTCGAATTAAATTACTTAACGTGTTCCTCCGCACTTACAGTGATCAACTTCACGCTTGTCGCCATCGAAACCATTGCGAAAAACCCAAAGTACAGCGTGGTTCCCGTCGCCGTCTACATTAGAGACGTCAACGACAATTATCCCGAGTTCTCACGTCCCATTTACGAGGTCTTTGTTCCGGAAAATTCCGTATCGGGCAAGACCATCGGCAAAGTAGAAGCCACGGATAAAGATTCCGGTGTGTTCGGTACGGGCGGTATACGGTATACGAGCATAAGAGGAAGTTGTGCTGATTCGTGAGTAGAGTTTTGTTTTTTCGCATACGCTCCATACCTATATTATGACAAAACCAATGTTGTGTGTTTCCATACAAGTCTTTCGTTGAACCCGGAAACCGGCGAAATAGTCATCAAATCGGACAGACCGGTATTCGACCGGGAGCAGATTTCCAAACACTTCTTGACCGTAGAAGCGAGAGACGACTTGGGCCTGGGCAACAGAAACACGGTGCAGTTGATCATAAACGTCGACGATGTCAATGACAACGCTCCGCGTTTCCTTTCGGCCAAATACGAAACGCGCCTGAAAGAAAACCATTTGATTTTCGAGTCTCCAGTGGTCGTCGAAGCGAGGGATTCCGATTTAAATGGTATTGTATACAGCACGAGTTAAATTTATTCGCGAAAACATAGAATCGAGGATATGTTTTCCTCTCCTATCCCCTCCACGGCCATCTCACAAACCCTCCCTCCCTGAACTGTCACGTGGGCCTATAGGATTGCCAAAATTAAGAAACCCGAGAGTACATATTAAAACAAACCGTTTGATCTCATTTTTTAATTGGTACCTCATTACCAGTAAGTTGCAAGAAAAATACTATCTAAATTTTAAAAAATCTTATCTCGTCTACGGTTTGAGGTAAAACATTTTTTTATGGGTTTTAAGCGTATTAAATATTCTAGACAACTGCCCAACGATTTAAAAGCACATCTTGTAGTTCTACCTATGATAAGATTGGTATGATGACGCTAATTCCAGATAGATCCCAGCCCAAAAACCTATTCATGTTAGTCGACGGTAGTTCAACTATTCATTTTACATCGTATTATGTGTGACACGTGTTCGAACATCATTTCAGGTACGATCAATTCGGAAATCACCTATCGGATCATCCAATCGGATTATCCGGTCGAAAGTTTCGCCATCGACCCCGTCACGGGCGTGTTGAAACTTAAAAAACCTGTAGATTTTGAAAAATTACAAAATCGCAAGAGTGCCATTGGGCTGGGCGGAAACCTCAAGCCAATACACTTGGTAGTCCAAGCTCAAGACCACGGATTGCCACCGCTGTCCGACGAAGCTCACGTGGTTGTTTATGTGGAAGACGTTAACGATTTCGGACCGAAATTCGAGAGTCAGAATTACGAGACGACCATATCCGAAGACTTGGTTGGCGGCAGTACAGTGTTGCAGGTAAATTCGGCAAAACAAAATATGATATAATTATTATTCCCCCTTAAGTCTTTGTCCTCTCTGTCTTTGAGTTATTCCATTCTATAAATACTCCGTGGAGATATGTCGCTAAGACTCTTACCCACGTACGATTGCCCTTATTGAGGACTAAATATTTCTCTAACCATTCACATAGTTTCATATTGATCAGGGTTGTCTACTTGAAATATTGTAATTTTTTTTCCATCTCTTTCAACCCACTTCACCGACAACCTTTTCTCTCACTATATTTTCTCATTATTCCCAGGCCCACGCTTGTCTAGGTAAATTGCTAAAAACATATTCTTTTACGTTTTTAAACTTTATCCAAGAATTAATCGATGATCATATACAGGGTGATCCAACTAACGTAAGACACTCATTTTCTCTGAATATATGAATATTTTAACAATTTTTATCACCAATCCTTATTAGCCAAAAAAGAGGGATTTATTTAAATGGCAACATATAGTTTTTATTACATAAATTTGTAGACAAAAAATTAAAAAATTTTCTCTTGATAGTTATAATATTTCTACGGTTTTCCAAAACCGGTAGCGCACATAAAGTTCATATTTATGTTCGCATTGTCCAGTTGGCGATAACATTCTTACAACTAGGAAGTCACTATAAAAGGTTTTGAAATAATGATAGACAAACGGTTCTTATCTACAGATTACTTAGATTTGAGTGTCTTACGTTAGTTGGATTACCCTGTATATATATATATATATATATATGTACATAATTCTTCTTGCGCGGTTACGGATTTTTAGGACCGTACCGTCCGACATAGAACGTGTCTTGAGTTTTCCCATTCTAATGTTAATTCCTTTCAATCCGTTGCTGGCTTTGCTTTTTCCACGTAAGATAATCTAAAATAACATAATATATCATCATTTGATTGCCGCCTTTGTCAGGTTAACGCTTGGGACGAAGACGGGTCAGCGCCGAACAACGTCGTAGTGTACAGACTGAGCAGCGGCGCCGAAGACAAATTCGTGATGGACGCCTACTCGGGCGTGATCAAAGTCGCCCACGGCGCTTCTTTGGATCCAGACAAAACGCAGCCGAAAACCAACGTGTACTATTTGGAAGTAACAGCGATCGACGGCGGTATCGGCGACCAACAGCTTAGTTCGTCGGTTAACGTGACGATAAAAATTCAAGACGTCAACAACAAACCTCCGTTTTTCCAAAAAATGCAAGCGGTCCGTGTAAAAGAAAACGAAATGGTAAACATATTATTTACGTTAATAGCAGTGTTCGGTTTAGCTTCGATGCGAGAAGTCGGGAAGGTTTTTGTAGATCTACAACATTAGTGATAAGAAACACAGCTTCAAAATAACTGCCTACCACCTAGTAGAAGTGTGGGGAGCAAAAATAAGGGAAAATAGAAGGTAGAGGAGGAAGGGGAAAGGCAGAGCAGGGATATTCCTTCACAGAAAAGCATGTAATTGTCTTTCAAGTCCAAAAACGTATCCATGATTATTTTTTTCCGCGAGACCTCAACAATTGTTTTTTTTTCACTAAAATTATTCTTAAGCGGTTGACTAGCTTTACACTACCCATTCAACAACATGTTCATTCGAAACACAATGATCAACACAGCCTAACATCCAAATCACTAATTGTGCAATAGTACATGTCCAATTTTTGACAAAATTTAATTATCACACTTATATTTGTATTTCCCTACCTTAGATACACGACCTGTGTAAAAACTAAAAACATGACTATTCTATTAAACCGCAATAGAAATAACAGCCGCTGATGTTAGTGTTTTGCGCTGAAATTGAACAAGTCCAGCATATGTCTTCTTCTGAAAGATAGAAATTTGTTATATTACACGTTATGTTAAAAATTTAAACATACAAGTTCTATTATAAAATAAAAATCAGATTATTCAATAATAATAGATTTCTCGGGTAACTTAGTAGCACTTCATCTGAAAAACAAATATTGAACTTTAATTCAAACACTGTTTTTATTAAAATAATTGTGATTTAAATGTAGTAATTCCACTAATTTAAAATGCCTGCAAAATCCCTTGTAAAAAAGGTGGACTAAGAGAATTTTGTTTTTTTATGTATTTCATACAGTTTTACCCGACCTTCTTCTCAGACTTGCTTTGACAGTTTTTTGCGTATGATAATTTATTATTCTTTATTCGAAAAAGATGTTCAAACTCTGTGGCCATAATCATCCTCAATTAGGATGATATTTTCGCGACTGTTTGGATTTTTGAAACGGGTTCATATGGCGATAATATCAATAAATCTAAATACATTTGAACAACATATTTTTTGTAGGTTGGAAGCATTATAACAAAAGTAGAAGCCGAGGATCCGGACGCAAAACCGGTGTTGAGGTATCGAATCAACGTGGAAGCTTCCGAAGCGCGCAACGAAGACGGCGTAGTCGTTAGCCCGGTGGAATACGATTGGCCGTCGGCGTTTTCTTTAAGTCCTGTAGACGGATACCTTAGAGTGGGCAAATTGTTGGACAGAGAAAAGGTAGAAACCATCCGACTGACGTTGGTTGTCGAGGACATCGCTGCAATAAACGGCAAGCAACTAGTAGACGGTGAGTTCAATGGATTTTTAGTTTACCTATTAAAAGCACCATTGGTGGAGAATGGAGGGGGGAGGGGCTAAATCAAATAATATACACACGACGGAAATTATTTGTGGAAATTAATAAAAAAGAAAAATTATTTAGTAAAAAACAATTTTCAAATAATAATAATAGTAGATCTATTTTTGATGAGTACTTAAAATGGAAAAAACTTGATAAAAATTCTAATAGCCTACGATGCGTTCTAAAAACCTCAATGGCTGGTTGCTTGGATTGAAAGAGGGCCTAAAATACGGATTTATTTCTTTAATTTAAGTTAAAAAAATAAAACACCTATTGCAAAAGGTGTACCTATGAACCTATGTACTTTTATAACGTTTATTAAAACTATAACTATTGAAAAAAAATCCAAACATGATAATCCGGAATACTCGGCATAATTATTTTAAATTAAAATACTTTAAATCTGAAATAAATCATTATCTTGTCTTTGCACTCGTACTACAAAAAAAAAAAATTAGAAGTTTTCTAAGAATAACTGTCCACAACATTTATTATAATATCTAACTGCACATTTTAAATTCCCTACTGGCTGTGAACTTAAGTGTTATTTAACGAATGCGGTTTCATTACACAGGAGTTCTTATCGTTCACGTGGACGACGAAAACGATAACACGCCGGTTTTTCGTCAAGAGTTTTACAAGAGAGCTGTAATGGAAAACAGTCAACCGGGTATGCCAATCATCACAGTGTTGGCAGATGATGCGGACAAAAATCGAACAATCCATTATTCGATTGAAGGTTGGTGTAAAGGGGAAAAAATGTAATAGAAACTAATTTACATTCATAATCTCCATACACAGATTAGACATTTCGATTTGAACAAATTTAATAGGCAGCTATAGAATTGATTAGCACTTGACGATATGTCTTTTAATTTCTTCATATTTGTATACACATATATTTGGGTTTTTGTTGGATTACCTTCTAAAACCATTACATCGCTTGATTCCAATAGTTTCTGGGTAGTTCGTATCGCACTATCTCTTGAATTTCCATGTAAATATTTCAAATAGCATACCCTATCACATACTGCAACCAATTTACACCATATGTATGTTTTCCACAATAGGCTTCCTCCTTTTTTTAATAGTTTTGCTGCTGGTGATTAATTTGTTTTTAAGTAAGTTGATTATATGAGATATTCCTCTTTGGTGGATTCTAATACAATATTTTACAAGTGTTGTATCCGGTCCGTTTAGAAGGTTTTCAAAATATTTCTTAGATAGCTCGGCTATTTCTCTTTTGCCTATAACTAATTCTCCATCACAGATGACCATGTTCATCTGTGATTAATAGATCCTTGTCTAATTCCTCCACTAAATTGTATTTTACATTTATTCTATTTTCTTCTATTTCTATAATTAACTTTTTTATTTACGACCTTGAGAAGAAACTAATTTACATTAATGGGTATCGTTATTTTTTTTTTGTATGTGTAGAATCTTCCACAGACGTGACCGATTTGATTCGACTGGATCCCGAATCTGGAGAAATCGTCGTGGCCGGTCGTATAGATCATGAACAACTGCATTGGATCAACATCAGCGTCCGAGCGTCGGACAATGGAGTGCCGATTAAGTCGTCGTTTACCGAAGTCGTATTGCGAGTGATCGACGAAAACGACAACAATCCGTATTTCGCCGAAGAAACGCCTACCAACATAACAATACCAGAAAACACTGCGATCGGTAATGTATATACAAACAATACAGGGTGTCTCAAAAAGAACGGCGGGGTTTCCAACGGCTGTAGGTTGTGAAGTATTGGACCTACAGCGCTCTGGTTGGGCTTGAATGAAACGAGGAGTTGTCAAGTTTCGAATGACTGCCACTAGATGTCTCTGCCATTAGATGTTTCACAGTCGTAACTGAATTACGCTTCGCTAACTCGATCACATCGAACGTGAAGAGACATTTAGTGGCAGTCATTCAAAACTTGACAACTCCTTGTTTCATTCAAGCCCAACCAGAGCGCTGTAGGTCCAATACTTCACAACCTACAGCCGTTTGAAACCCCGCCATTCTTTTTGGGACATCCTGTATAATACACCTGGCGGTTGTACCGTGTTTAGTCGGCCAATGTGACTTTATGACTATTTTTCCCAATAGGAGCTTCGATTGCCACTGTAGTGGCCATGGACGCGGACTCTGGTGATTTCGGAAGAATCACCTATTTACTAGATCGTCTTTCGTCTCAGGTAAGTTGCATTGTTGAAACGTTGACAATATAGCTGTATATTTTTTTTCTCAAATACATATTTTGTCAACAAAATCCAAACCAAGTGAGAGAAGGGATTGTTGGGAACCCGGTTAATGTAAGCGTATTTTCGCGAAGGTACAAACAATCCTTATCAACTAAACATCACTTATCAGCATACATAAGTAAACTATAGATGACAAAAACATGGGTAGGATATTTCCAATTGAGGCCACTATATTTTTGTGGTACTGGACTGATAAGACATTGAGACCGTTTGTTTACAGTACTGCATACTATCTTATTTAGACTATAAAAAGTGAATTCGTATCAATTTCGTAAAACTTGATGACCGCTGATAAGACGTTATGTCCTAACGTACAAAAAAAAAATGTATTGATAATTTTAAAAACCAGGTCACAAACATTTTAAATTAGTGAATTTATAAAGTCCAGTTGGTCGACAACCATGTAAATAAAAAATATACACTATACACATATAGTCTACGGACATAAGATGGACGATAACCGTTGTTATAAAAAAATAAACGCGATGAACACATGATTAATACAGACTTGCATCTCAAATAAATAGTTTGAAGAGTGAGAGTCAGTGGGAACTACATGAAATAATACTGGTAGTATTATCACAGGAATGACAAATTATTGAGGATCTGTGTTATTTTTGATAAGGTATGACTACGAATTTGTGGTCACACTTGGCGTTGTCCTTTAAATTACTTAGGTCTGTTACACAGGCTCGCATTTTATATGGTCTTTAAATTAATTATAAATCATTCTTTGAATTATATATTATGTTTTATATTATTTTTTTTTTAACAAAAGACTACATTTTTACTAGGGCAAGTTCACAATCGACACAAACACCGGAGTGTTAAAGGTCGCCGACACGTTAGACCGAGAACAAACAAACACCTACAATTTAATCGTGGAAGCTTGGGATAACTATCAGTTTGGTTATGTCTCTGGCGAAAGCCGCAATGCCTTCAAGCAAATCATGTAAGTACACATTCATAATATTTCACACGTTTCTACACAAATAATAATCTTTACCTTCTGGTTTTTACTACTCTATAAGAGTTTTTGCCACCATCACTATTTCCCTTCTATTTAAAAATAAATTTGTTTAGTTATAGACTTGCCACATTATTCTGGGTCGTCCTTGAGGGTTTCATTCCTCTAGGCTTCCAGTTCATCAAAGCTTTGAAATATTGTTTTACTTAGCTTTTACGCATTACATTTCATCTCAGATATCTTTGAGAATATATTGACAATGCAAAAGATGTACTCTCTGCCTCTGTTAAGCGCAAAACTATTTCTGAATACTAAATAATATATTTCTTAAAAATTATCAAATACCTGAGTATAAGTGACAAGTATCACTCTCATCGCATATTTCAATGCAATGTTCAAGAGTAATAAAGATAGAGCATCTCCCTGTTTCAGTCCTGTGTCTACTGTAAAATTATCAGACATGGTCCGGACCAATCTTATTTGTTGGTACAAGATTTCTTCCATGTACATTCTGACCAGTGCCACTAGCTTCTTCGGTATACCAGATTCCTCCATATTATAAAGACCCTCTTGAAGCCTACTGAAATACTACTTAGAAATAAAGGATTATTTGCCAAAACGATGTCACGTTGTTGTCACGGCCGATGAGCTGATAAGAAATCATTGATAAGGGTTTCGTGGTAAAAAATTAGTGATAAGAGACACTTGATAAGGTGTAAGTGATAAGAGATAAGATGTAATCTAGTTTCGGCGATTTGATGTATTGATTCCGTCTTATATCACTTATTTCTTGTGAGAGTAATGGGAGGGAGGAAAAAGGAGAGTAAAACTTAGGGGAAGGATGTAGTAAGGTGGGTAACAGAAATAGACGTATTTGTGTTCCAACGTCTTTTCGAAAGATTGATAAAACTTTTTTTATTAAAATAATAGTTATTTTTCTATAGTTTGATCTATAATAGAGAGCTAATCTATTGTTGATCTCCTTTATCAAAAATCACGTCAGTACTCGCCCTGCTTTTAAAAAAGATATACTTCTTACATAAATAATAATAAAAATGTAAAACAATATCTTTAACAATGCAAACAGGGTTACTGTGTCAGACATCAATGACATGGCACCGGTGTTTCAACACTTGCCCGACGAATGTGTTGCGGTAACAGAATTCCACACAGTCGGCGACATGATCTTATTGGTAAAAGCCAACGACGCGGATGATCCTAACACAGTAAACGGCCGAATAATGTTTTCCATTGAAGACGGAAACGAAAGAGGTCAGTTATATAAATAAAACAATTTCTAGGCTACCCAATGGAGTTGTCCTTACTATGGGTTTGGTGTAGAATTTCAACAAAGTCCTCTAACTTGGTTCCGGATGATTTAAAATCTAAATTTTCGCTTGAATTGTGAACATAATTTTAAAACCAATGCCTTCTTAGCCTTCTGTTGGATATAGGCAGTGATAGAGAATCATCGCGGTTTTGCAACGTCATCAGTTAACAGAGTATATTGTAACTGTTGTATTTTGTAGCCGGTCACGAAAAATTTAGTAGTTTGACCAAAAATAGAACAATAATACATTTTTCCAGAACTTTTTGCTGTTCATAACGTCGACTATTGGTCGGGTCGTTTGTACACGACGTCTTCGTTAAAGAACCTCTACGGGAATTACAGTCTGTTGATCAGAGCACAGGACGGAGGAAGTCCTCAAAAATCGAGTTTGGCCACCGTCAACGTTTGCGTGACCGACGTCAACGACAACGCTCCTCGTTTCGTGTCGCCCGCGTACAACGTTACAGTGAGATTGCTTCAAGTGAGTATAACTTACCGCTAAGTATTACTTACTCCAGTAAACCATGTAAAACGGTTTTTTTTCGTTTGGGGGGGAAATTCCAGAACACCACTGTCGGAAGTCCGGTGATCACTGTCGAAGCCATCGACGACGACGTCGGACAAAACGCTGAAGTCCGGTACCGCCTCAAACAAGATCTGATGGGAGATTGGAAATCGTTTTCCATCGACGACACTACCGGATTGATTACATTGAAAAAACCACTGAATAAAGAAATACAAAAGGTTTACCAGGTCAGTGTCCAAGTTACCGTAGCAGGTTTGCCAGCCGTGTTGTCTTCTCGCCGTTTGACTACTCCTAAACTGTCTCAATATATTTCCTCTTTCTCCCGTCTCCTTCCTTGTCAATTTTACAACAAAATCGTCCTAACCTAACCTGAATAATTCCCCACGCCATTCCAAGTTTTCTACTATCCTTTTTTTAGACCTATTCGTCGTCAACCTATTTACCATTTCATAATGTTATATCACTAATTTGTTTTATAGATTCGCGTCGAAGCCTACGATCTAGGCGTACCCACCCCGTTGTCGTCTGACCTGGAACTGACGGTACACGTGAAAAGCTCCAACGATTTCCAACCGCGATTCCTGATCGACCAAGTCACCGTGAACTTCACTGGTATGTCGCGTTTAATGTGCTTAACTAGGAAAACTTGACTTTATCATTTTCCCCGCTATAGAACACCGAGAGCCGGGATCTGAGTATTGGCAGCTCATCGACACGGTCGACCGAGAGGAGCTGAACGATATGGAAAAACCTATACCGCCCGTTTGCTATTATGTGATTTCTGGCAACGAGGATAACAACTTTATCGTCGAACCGCTTAACCACAGGATTTCCGTAAGTCATCCGCGTTCGTTAGGTGTAAAGAGGATGTGGGTGGGAACAGAATGGCGATAAGGATTGGAGTGGGCGGGGAATAAGGGAATCAACTGATAAGAGATAATATAAATACAATAAACCCCAGATAGCTGATAAGAAACCTATACAACTTTAGAAACACCAGCTATACATGAGCGGCAAAGCTTTTTATGTACTTGGTCTGTGCAACCAAGGCCATCAGGCTGGATTTAGACATTATAGTAGTGATTAGTATCAAAATTAGTAACAAGTTCCATAGTATGTTGTGTCAAAACTCAAATTCTCCAAACTTTAACCTAAAAACTAAATCATAAATAACGACTAAATTATAAAATGTTGATGGAAGATTCGAGTTTCTTAGCCTAAATAGAGTTTTCCATTATACGTTGTCTAGATACACCCGGCCTCATTTTTTTTTGCTTCTTCTGAAAAATATGATTTTTCATGCTGGTTTCGATTTTGTACTTTATACCTCAAAGTGCAAGGATGGGATATTCCCTAAAGTTGGTATTAAAGGGTTTTCGGGCGCATAAGCAAGCCCATAGAAGACTTAAAACAGAGTGCTTCAATTGGTCTCCTGGTTACTATTTTGAATCCGACTGCTGTGAATCTGACCTAGGTAGCTTTAATTTTAGGGGTTTCCTTTGCTTAGGTCGCCGGCGTACTTGATCGTGAAGTCCGAGATTCGTACGAGCTCATGGTGAAAGCCAGCGAGGATTGTTTGCACTCTCCGCCAACCAGTCGAGACTACGGACAAGAAGACGACGACGACAGTCTGCTCAAGGTCTCCGTGGTCGTCAACGACATCAACGACCATGCCCCCGAATTCGTCAAAAGGATATTTACCGGCGGAGTCACCACGGAAGCGGATTTCGGTGCCGAGTTCATGCGGGTCAAGGTAATATTTCCACAACGCTTAAATAACTGACGACCGTACCTAGTCAAAAGTCGTGACTTAGAAGTCGACCAGAAAGTAATTTTTTAATTTTTTCAGGCGGTCGACGCGGACAAAGGAAGGAACGCCGAACTGTCATACTACATCGTCCCGGGCTCGTTGCAACTGTCGTTGGCCGAAGGGCTGGACAGCATACAGTACCCGCCCTTCTTGGTGGACATAGCCACCGGTGCCATCTATTTGAATTTCGACCCGCAAAAAGGCATGAAGGGCTACTTCGACTTCCAAGTGCTGGTAAACGATACCGGGGGCCTTTACGACATGGCCAGGGTGCTGATCTACTTGTTGCGAGAAGATCAACGGGTCCGATTTGTCGTCCGGCAGAATCCTTCGCAGTTGCGGGAAAAAGTCGACATTTTCAGAGAGTAAGTAGTCGAGAGTTTAGCTTCGATGCACTGCTGAGGAGGTGGTCTTTCAACTTTGTTTTTTTGCGACAACGTTACCAACCGGCAGTTATTAGCGACTTTTCGTTTATGACATCTGGTACACCGTGTTTGTAATTTCAACGGGATCCGACTCTTTTTCTCGAAACTATAGCCAGTAAAAGTTCTAACTTAAAAACTCGTATGGTTTTTCCAAATTTTAACTATGAAGAAGTGAACTTTTACTACTTTAACCCTCCCCCCCCCTTCGTCCCCAAAGTACCAATTAGATAAAATGTGTGATTCATAAAGTTGCTACTCGAAGGGATTGGTCCAGTATTAAAAAAGTTATAGTGTATACAGGCACAAAAAAAGCCTACACCGTAGTAAAATCAATACCTTCTACGCTTTGCATCGAAGCTAAAAACGAGAAAAATTATAAACAAGAAGAAAAGGCGTCGGTGTTGGCAGTATTCATAATACAGTTAAGAGGGGAGTTCAGAAATTAGTTTTTAGAAGAATGGGGTATAAGGAACTGGAGAAAACAGCGAGTGAAACGTACAGGAATTTTGGAGTTTATTTTAAAAAGTAGGGTAGAGGAATCAATTTTTCCGGACAGAAGACATGACGTAAGGAATGACAAATTAGCTGCGTGCCTGCGATCAGACTAGAAAGAAAGTTGAGAAAAATTTTGGACAGATGAGTAACCGTGTGGAGGACAAGGGATGCAAAAGACGAAATTATGACATTTGTAAAAAGCTCCTCTGGCCTCAGATGAAGCAAGGTCCCAAAGGCCATAACTATATTCCAGATTGGGACGTACGAGAGCACAGTATAAGGCTTTGAGCGGAGAAACAAGGTGTAACTTAAAAGACGTACGGTTCTAGAACTCGAGGAGCTTAAATGTCAGTTGTCAGGGTGAAAATTATTAATTAGAGACAGAAAATTGGCTGATCATATTCTGACATATTGTTCATTGAATTTTTGTTGTTGTCTAGGATTTTAGGTAATGTCACTGGAGCCATAGTTAACGTAGACGAGTACAAAGTGCACGAAACACACGACGGTCGCGTGGACAAAACAAGATCAGACATGTACTTGCACTTTGTCGATCACCGAGACAACTCCATCATGGAAGTACCGCACGTGCTCAGGGTAATCGACGAGAACATTGAACATTTGGATGCTCTATTCAAGGTAATTAACATCCGACCCGATCTCCGTACATGGTCACACGGTGGTACGGTGATTTTGCACTCTGTACAAGTGACCTATTGCGGGTTGTAGGTGTTGTGATGGAGTCCAAAATAGAAACACAATTGAAATTTATTTTTTTATACCTGAAATCAGTATTGCCGAGGGTGACTTTGTTTAGCGGGAAATTGAAATGTTAAGGGTGTAAAAATGTTTTCAAACGCAATTTTAACACAGAAAAGAAGCTTTACCATTTATACACGGGCTCGTGTAGGACGAGATAAAATCATGTCAGACGTTTTGAAAATTATCTAAAAATGGACAGTGCTGGCTGGTGTAGGGAAATTCTCATTTTTCTTTCGTTCCGGTTAAACTGTTCACTCGACAAATGCGGGAAATGGCGATGTTGTCGGTGTACGACATTAAAACAAATAAACAGTGTAGCCACGATCACAGAAAAATTAAAAAAAAAAAAAGGAAATATCCGAGTTTGGGCATCACTGGCTAAATCTCAATATGTCTGACCGTTTTAAACTAGACTGGTACAACTGGCCCTAAGATTTCCATCTGTTTATTCAGTGGTTTTAAATCCTACCGGACCGACAACCTGCACTGAGCTGCACTTATAATTATTATTATTGTTGTTATTGTCTCGTTTAAGGAGTTCAACGTTTTGGACACACAAGCGGCCGAACCCGAACCGTTGCGCAGGGCTTCCATTAAGGACGACAATGTGATTTGGATGTGGTTGGTCGGCACTACGTTTTTCTTGGGACTGCTCCTGATCGTCGTGGTTTCCATTTGTCTGTCACAACGTTCGCATTATCGCCGGCAACTCAAGGCGGCCACCATAAGCGCGTTCGGTAATTATAATCGAAATAAACGAATACGGTCGACGGTGATAGTAGTTATTGATAAAAATGATTTATTTCTCTCCTCTGTCGGTATAGATCCCAGAACGCCCGACCACGTGACGTCGGCCGCGATCGGTGGCCGAGTACCGAATACCAATATGCACAGTGTGGCCGGATCTAATCCAATGTGGATGCAAGCGTACGAAAACGAATGGTTCAAGGACAGAGAGACCCTAAGGTAAATTGCATCGGTACACTGCCACCTATTATCGAAATTCATAACAATGGACCGAACTGTTATTATTTTCAACACCTTTAGAGGAGGGAATTAGAGGAAATAAACGGGAAAAGAGAACAGTCAACTGATAAGAGGCATAAGATAAGAGAAACTGATAAGAATGACGATTTATTAGAAGAATGAACAGAAAAAATCAGCTGATAAGAGATGGGATAATGATAAGGGATGACTAGCTGATAGTGATAAAGGAGTGATAAGAACGGTGCCTGATAAGGACTCGCTGAAAAATGTATTCTAAGATTTATAATTTTACACAATTTCTTTGCTCTTTTCTACAGACCATTTGGCTGTGGAATACACTTTCTTCTGGTTGAATTTTGACTTTTTTAAACGCTAAAAGCTATTTCTTTAATATAATCTTCTACTACTAATAGGTACATTAAAATATTCTGTAGGTTTATCTACTAGAGTTGGGACGACAATGTTTAAACGTTTCTCTAGTGGTATTACAGTCTTCTAGATTTATTTTCGATATTATTTGTTGATTTTAATCTAAAATAAAACTAGTTTCAAACAAATTATAAATCCAATATTAGAATTTTCACATTTTCTCCTGCAATAAAAATAACTATAAAATGCTACAGTGATTTTAAGATCAGTTCTGTATGTTCCATCCCTATTATCCACCAACCGTTAACTTGGCATCGTATCCTATATGATTCAAACGTTTTAAATTTAATTTTCGATAACCAAACCAATTAGCGTGATTATTATTAATATTTTGGCATTGCTAAGTTAAAGGGTACTTTGATATTCAAACTCTTGGAATTCCGCTGGAGTTCTTAGTTTAAGACCTCTTCGTTTGCTAGCAGTTCAACGTTTGCTTTTCAATTTTTCGTTTTACGTCAAACTCGAGTCGTAAGCTTGTGTGGGGTTTTAAAGAATTGGTCGAATTCTTATTTTATCTCTTGGCACCAAATCTTTCAGACCCAATTCATCAAGATCCACAGGTAATTACAACCGGGTCTGGATTTCTTCGGTTTCGTTCCCGTTTCAGCTTCGTCTCTATTAAAAATTACCAATTTCAATGACCTTTCAATTAATTTTTCAGCCAAACTTCAGAACGGGATTCGCTGGACGACAACACGACCACCAGCACAACTTCCCCTCAACCGATTGAACGATCGACCACAACGCTTTTCATCAAAAGGTAAGTACACTTTGACAGTGTTGTTTTGAATACAATATTTTATTTCCCTATAAATCTGTTGATTTCTCGAATTTGTGAAGGAAATGTAAATTTCTAGCGAAAGTAGGCTATTCTGAATACTCGAAATCTTATTCAGAACATTAAGTCTGGTTGCAGGTCTGATGTTCATAATAACCGTCCCACTTCAAAACCTAAATTGTCTGATAACTTTAGTAATGCTTTTAACGATTCTCAACATGGATTTCGGCCTTCTAAATCAACTGTTACATATTATTTAAACGTTGGTGGCGGTGAGTCTTAATTATCACGGTTCGCTTCCTATCTTGTGTTTTACTAATGTGTCTTGTCTGAAAGTATTACTAGATCAATTTTTGAATATGTGTCAGGAGTGGTTTGTAAAGTGAAGAGTATAAAATCCCAACTTTTCGGGTATGATGGCATAATGAATAAAGTCAAGGTTGACATAGTATTTTTTGACAATCAGAAAAATATTAAATATCCAAAACCATTTACCATAATAAGAAAGGCGGACCATTCCTTCTTTATTTCTTCTTTTCGTGTGACGTTTTAGGACTTGAGGTCTGAAAATTGAACTGAATGTAGATCTATGGTCGGACATGTACAATTTTCAAAATAAAACTAAAAAAAAGCAGAGGGGAATAACACTTAGACAATTTTAAGGTTGCTATGTTTGAAGGGTATTTGCCAATCTTTGCATTATACTGTAACCATGGCAGTAAATTATTATAATAAATAAATAAGAAGGTATATATTTATTTTTTATTTGTTTGGTCCAGCAACGATTGTAACATTCATACGGACACCACGGACGACTACTATGAACGGACAAGGATCACGGTAAAAAATTTGGAAACGACCGAATTATGACATAAAGCTCACCGGGCACCTGCTGGGACAAAGCGCTACAACCAAGTCTCTCCTTCCTCGGACCTTGGACGATACAACGATTAATGTATAATATTATATTTGTATCTTTTTCTGACATAACTGCTAGGTTTTTGAACCCAGAAGAAGGACATTATTCGATACAATTTCATATCATTACAATTGTATTTAATGATTCTTTCTTTTTGAGGTGATATTTTTGATATTTATTTTCAATTAGTAAACCAGTATTTTTTTTTTTTTGGCTTTGGCTGGTCCAAATTCTGTAATAACACAACAACCTGTTGTGAGTGAAAAGCAATTGTTTTTTTTATTAAAAAAGCAAAAATTCACTTACATAACATAAGTAAAGTAGTCGACATTTTGTCAGGCTTTTTGGTCCAAATCATTTAAATCATTCGCCGAATAAATGGTTCAGTTCAAATGTTGGTCCAACCCTGGCTTTAAAAAATATTTTCTTAAATAATAAATAGTAAATATATATGTATAGAGAGCCGTGCTTTTAGCACAGGGGTAAAAAAATCTAGATAAAAGCCATAAATTCAGAGTGTGCCAATTAATAGTACCTAAATTACTGACAGTAAAATAATAGTCTTATAAACGACAGTGGTGGGATCTGAAGTGATCGTCAACAGTTAATACTTTAATTCGTTAAGACAAAATAAAATAATAAAAATCGATAATTTTTCGACTAGTAATTAAATGTATACCCCCGTTTTTAAACGATTCGCTTTTACAAAATGCATTTATTATAATAACAGTATTTCAACAACATTAGCAAAGTTATTACAAAAAAAAAAAATATATTAAAATTATTTGTCTGTCAACGTTTAACGTCAACCTTAGCTTAACAAAATTAGATTGTTTCAAAAATATTTACTTCATTTATTTGCGAGGTGGAGGTGTTCTGAAAATTGATTTGGCCCCTTCTCGTGGTATTAGCACGGCTGTCTATAATAAATAAATATATATATTTATATATATATTTTAGCTCTTAGTTTCAAATAGTATCTAGGTTAAGTCATAGTGTAACGTACAGGGTGATTCATTGAGCAAAACCCACTCAATTTGCCAATTTGTAGATAATCTTTTCGTAAACATATTAGTTGCTTAAATTATTTTACCATATTTGTAAATTAATAAACACTTGCCTTGTTTCAACAGCTCTGTCCACTTTTGGAACTTAAACCAATCGAAACCCAACCTAACCGGCTTATATTTTAAAATTTTAGCAACTCCAAAAGTAACCATCCAAAAATGGTCATCGACCGGTCAAAATTGTCGGTAAATTATTTTCTATAATCTAAAAAACATGTCAATTGATAACAAAAGTATCTCCAAAAACGAAAAACTACAAAATTGCAATATTGTCTAAACAGGGAAAATTAGTGTCTTATCACATTAATGAATCACCCTGTATGTGTGAGTCTCGTTGAAGTCATAGTCGGGCATATATACCGAAGTAAAATATATATATATATATTTTATCTTATATGCAAATCTTTCAAAAATTTGATGGTTTTTTACATCAAAAGTCTTACACCCAATATCCAATTACATTGCAATCAAATTTTATGGAAAGTGCCAATTTCCACAAGTCTTTGTCACAATGTTGTTTTGCTCGAAACCTAATTTTTAATGCGTTTAGCTATTTGTATTATTATTATTATTATCGTTAAGACAAATTGCCAAAAAGTATTTTATGATTTTATTTTTAAGGTTTTTTATTTGATGTTTTTTCCTTTCTTTTTATAAGTGTATAATTAAGTGCTTCTTTCTTTTTTTTTTTTTGTAACGCTTGTCCCAGTAAGTGTCGTCTTAGCCCCAGGACTTTGTGAATAGCCATAAACAATGTAAGCTCATGTGCTGTTCTTATAGAATAATTATATAATATTATGGTGAAAATGCCAGAGTTTACCGATTGTGGATAATTATTTTATTCCGTTTTTGGGAATCGACGGTGAAGTTTTCGCGAAGTGCTTTTTTGTAGTTTTCATAGTAATTTATTTTGAATAATTATTATCGTTAAACGTTATTTATACTATTATCACGTGAACCATGTACATAGTTATTTTATTTTAAATCAAAATCAACTCGGTATAATCTGTATATTTATACGTACTTATTATTATATGTTTTGTAATGTTTACTATTTTAAGATTTTTTAATAAAAAGAAAAAAAAATGTATAATAGTTTTGCTTCAGCATCGACGCCGAACTGAGAAGAAGGTTTACATTGTTTTCACAATGATTTCTCTGGGTAACAAGTCTATATATAGATCACAAGTAAACTCATCCCACAACGACTGGACTGTTTTAATAGTAAAAGTAGATATTATAAATAATTTACCTTTAACTAAATCTGGATGACAGCTCAAAACACCTACCAAACATAATTTTTGCGCTGCTGTCACAAATTGGCTTTTAAATATTTTTTTTATCACACATAATAATAAACAAAACAATAACAAAGAATGTCGTGAGACCGAAAAATTAACAAACTACCTACTATTTAAAAAAAAAAAAAGATTCCAAATTATTAGCTAATAATTATTACATACATAACGGTTTAAGCTTTTAAATAATTTATCAGCTGTCTCTTATCAGCATCTACAATCAGCTGTTTTATTATCATTATGGGAAATCTCCCCCCCTCCCTCAATGACCCCCAGCTCAAAAACATATCCGTGTTAAAAAATATCAAAAACTCTTCACTGGCTTCACCCCTGGAAACGGATACAGTTGGGCTATAACGTATACGATTTTTTTGTTTTATTAAGGAAAACACCAAATAAAAATGGGAAAATTACACATATTTCAATATTCCTCCCCTTAATCTACAGATTTTGCGTCGAAGGGTTTTATTGAAAGTGATTTCGTTCACCTTACGGTTCGAATAATTCCTGTAGACCTGACCTCCATCGTGTATGCCTTGACCCCGTTGTGTTGGTTTTTTCGTTTTAATTGTTGTTGTTGTTTTTTTTTTTTATTAATAGTTACAGGTATCTAATTATATTGTTGTAGTACCGGGGTACAACGGTCAAAACAATGTCGTCGACCAAAGCGAGTATAGGTACTATATAATTTGCATTGTTCGTATTCAAAATATACAATAATTATTATTAAATGGCATGTGTACGACGACGAGGACGTTGAGCTCACCCGGATGGGGTCACGCTCGATAAGCACACAGTTTGATTAGCTGTATCAATTTTTTTTTTTTTTTGGTGGGGAGGGAAGTCAGTCAAGTAAGACTTGTGTAGTGACGGTCAGCTGTATTTTTGGAAGCGGTAATTAATATTAATTATAAGGGATGACCGCTTGGGGACGAGCCGATTTAATATATGTTTACCGTGTGAATGACACTGCCGTTGACCGGTCGTCGGCTTATTTAAATTTATCCTGACTTGTGTCCGAAAAAAAATAAAAAATATCCATGTTAACCAAATGCAAATACCGAAATTCACTTAGAGTCGAGTTAGGATTTGAAATTTTAGGGATAACTTTTTGTCGTGAACATGTTATGCTTAGTTTAGCAAGTAGTTATTGATTTCACTACTTCTAGTATAAGCAAACCACTAAGCTATATTTCGATTGTGTGCTAAAAAAAATGTCTAACAATTAACATGATTATTATGTTATTGGGCTGGCTAAAAGAAATTTAGAGACAAGAAATTAGGGATGAAAATGATAAGAGATTAGTGATAAGAGATAACAGGTGCGTTTAATAAACATAATAGGAAATGTATTTTCATAGCGTAAAAATGCCTATTTCACTTGATAAATAACTTATTTAAGTACTTGTAATTATATTCTTGAATTAGTCAAGTTTTTCTCACTATAGACGATGTTTTATCTTTTTTAACATTAAAACAATAACTATACTTGTAACCAATATTACAGGTACAACACTAAACTAATAAGCCATTTAACTATTTAAAAACTATCATCGATTATGTTATTTTTCGAGTTGGACTCCTATGTGGATTATATAATTATTATTGTAATATGAAAACAATTATTTTGTGCATTACAAAAGTCACAAGTGATACTAAAAGAAAACAATTTGTACCTAGCTTACTTATGATAGTAAAAAAATAATTAAAAAGTTTTTTAGTTACCATTGTACTTATTTTTTTCCTCTACAGCACAACTAGTAGTAAACGTTTATCTTTAAATTTTTTATTAACTCATAATAGATCTGGTCATGAAAAAATATGTAGTTATGAGCATGTGTTTGTCATGAAATCCAAGCTTGGCAATAACCAAAATGGCAGCAAAAAAAGAAACCGTTGTTTTATGATTGTTTTTTGTATTAGAAACTTATTTTAAATGTAATTGTTATTTTATGTAAGAGATTTATTTTAAAAAAATTTCTGGGATACAAGAGGAGCAAAGTTTGTTTGCATAACAAGAACAATACAAAAAAATTATATTTAATTAATTATTTTCTTTTAAATTCATTTTATTATAACATTATAAATTTCAAATTTAGATACAACAAAAATGTATTCCTTTTTTAGATTAATAGCATGTCTATAATATGTGTGAAAAAAAGACTATGATAACCTAATGCGATGATTCACCGATTTATTAAAAGACCGAACAATGGTTTTTTGACTATTCTAGTATATTTAATTAATCCAAATTTAAAACTTAAATAAAAAATAAAACAAAATACCAAATATAGAGGACGATTTGAATTTCATCGCTTACCTGATTTGTTGACGGTTTACTACTATTTTGAATAACTCAAGTAAAACCTTTTTTTATCAAACGATAATTAACAATGTTCTTCTTTAATTCAGAAATCCTATTGGGAGGGGAAGGATAACTTTTGTAATTTATATAGCTTTGTGTACATTTAACTGGTGTTTCGATAATAATTTACTGAAAATTCTGACTGGTCGATAACTGGTTTTCGATAATTAGGTTCACTTTGGATCGGACGAACGACTTTTTCCACTAATTTGTCCGAAGGAGCGCAATAATCTATAAAACTGTAAACTTTTACCATTTTAGAGTCAAATTTTGATTAGTGCAAGTCCAAATTTGTTTTAGGTTGTTGGCGGAATTTTTAAAAAAGACAAGATGAGATAATTCAAAACCGTTTTAAATAAAAATAGGTCTTTTTAGGTGTTTATTGTTATTATTTTTTTGAACGTTTCTAATCGTGGAAAACTTTAGATTTAAACAGTTAGGTTTAGTCGTTATAACAAGAACAGCTGCAGCCGGCGAAGACTTGAACAGCGTTATCAATTGTTTTCTTATCTCTTATCACTTATCACATTAAACGCGTTAAAAAAAAAAAATTAGCATGCACATTATTTTGTAATTTTTTTTTTCTACTTGATAACTAGATCTAGGTATTAATATGATGACTTAGGATTTATTTTTTAAACAAATATACCTACTAAACTGTTGGATCTGACTATTGAAAAAAAAACATTACGTTGGTATTTTGTTACTACACCGTATCGTAGTAGGTGCCTATTTGGTTTTGTACGTTTGAGGGAAAACGAACGCGGCTCATCATGTCAAAATCGCCGTGTAGTACAAACAACAATGTCAACATTTGTGTTCTAGTGTCGGTGAAGGATCCGAAACAAAAGCTGGTGTTGCTCGACAAGGAACCGTTGGTTTTAGGCCGAACGCCACAGACCGGAATACTGGACAGAAGGTTGTCGAAAAATCAAGGTAGATCGTTTATAATTACATACTTAACGCTGCAAACCGGCAAGACAGTACAATAATTATACAATACACTGTTGTCGGTTTCTAACAAAAACATACGTACCGTCCGACACTTTAAACTATTCGAGCGACACTCTTGTTGTATGAATACTAAAATAGCTAGTATCGAAATGAGATGTGTTTCGAGAGCTAATCCATTGACAATAGCAACATAGTTCTCAGTCAAAAGTATAATAGGCAGTTTTTATCCATGAAATATGATTTTCGATGTTGATCAATTCGTTTAAAGATCTATTTACACTATACGGAACTTCAACTTTGAAATATTTGTTCATACAAGTCGACGATAATATTTACATTGACCAGCAAAGTTTCTGGAATACTTTATTTTGGCGTATCGCTGCTGGACCGTTTATTGTCTTTTCGGTTAGTGTAAACATAACGTTGTAACATGATGACATTTATAATATTTTTAATTAATTCATATATTGTTTTATAATTCAATTTTACATAATAGATTATAAAATTAATGTTAAGACATTCTGCAGTATTTGTAATAATATTATGCTGTTTTATAGTCTTTGAATTCTACAAACAATATACAATATTCTCCAAATGGCTTTCTTTAAATTAATATTTCACAAACCTTTTTTTTTTTCATATTATTGGTAATGTTTTTTTTTATCTAAATTTTGCCATGATAAACACTTTGCTTTATGTAAAACTGTTTTTAGTTTTTATTTTAAATCTACCATCCAACAAACTTGGTGATTTGATCAATATGATTTAACTATTTAACTGACTTTGCTGGATTTGAATTAACAACAAATGTAATGTAACGTTGCAAATCCGTAACCGGACGTTAAATGTTCTGTATAGTGTGTGAATGGACTCTTAGTGTCGAATTGCGCTTAATCTAGTTTTATTTTTTATTTCACCAGTGAAATTCGAAGCGGACTATTCGATGGGACGAGTAGTGGTCGAACAGTTGGGAAACAACAAGTCTGCCGTCAACGAAGAGTCCATGTTGAAAGGAGAGAAGAGACTCATCAGTCATGGCGATAAAGTGTCGCTGTTGTTCAACAGCGATTACTGCTATCAGCTGGAATTTATTCCGCCGCCGAATTACGGCCTTTTCGATGCCAAGAAGAGAATATCCGAATATTCCGAAAACTCGATCTCTCCCAAAAAAAGAAGAACGGCCGCCGCCACCGAAAAATGGGAAACCAGAGACGGCACGTTGCTAGTGTACAACAGCGACGACTTGGTTCATAAATCTAAAGTAATGTTACACAATATTTTCTATCGACATTTCCCTTATAATTGTTAACCGAGCTTTGTTGGTTGTTTTTAAGGTCGCGGCATTCGACTTGGACGGAACAATTATCGTAACGCAGTCCGGTAAAGTTTTCCCTACCGATTGCACGGACTGGAAAATAAACTTTCCCGAAGTCACCAAAACTATAAGACAACTGGCCGACGACGGCTATAAAATTGTGATATTCACCAATCAGGGCGGCATCGGCACGCTGAAAGTAAATGAAAAAATGTTCAGGACTAAAGTGGAAAACATTGTCGACGTGATTAAAACACCGGTCCAAGTGTTTGTATCGACGACCAGTGATATATTTAGGAAACCCACGACCGGCATGTGGAACATTTTTGTTTCCGAAGTAAATTCTCAATTTAACGTTTGAGCGATCGCAAGCAAACGCTTACATGCAATTTTTTTTTTTTTTAATTTAATTAGTTTAACGGAGAAATACCAATCGATATGCAAGCAAGCTTCTATTGCGGAGACGCAGCTGGACGACCGGCTCGAGTGGTAAACAATAAACATACGAAAAAGGACCATTCGTGTTGCGATCGTTTGTTTGCCATGAACGTCGGCCTTAAGTTTTACACGCCCGAAGAGTATTTTTGGAAAAGATCGGCCGAACAGTACGACATGCCTCTTTTCAACCCCAAAGACATAATGGCCAACGTGAAGTACTCGGATAAGCAGCATAAATTTTTTAGCACTCATAAAGAGGTAATTTTTACATTGAATATTACAAACATGACATGTTTTAACACTATCGTTGGATTTCAGATAATTCTAATGGTCGGCTGTCCCGGCTCGGGTAAGAGTTACTTTGCTTCCAACACGCTGGCGACCCACGACTGTGTGAAAATAATTAACCGAGACACGTTGGGTTCGTGGCAGAAGTGTCTCAACGACGCCAGGAAGAGTCTGGAAATCAGTAATTTGAGTGTTGTCATCGACAATACCAATCCCGACAGGGAATCGCGCAAACGTTTCATAGATCTGGCCAAAAGTCTGGACATACCGTGTCGGGTATTCGAAATGAACACCTCCAAAGAACACGCCAAACACAATAACAAGGTAAAACAATTTTATACACATTTTGAGAACGTCTCGTTGTATACGATGTGATTGTTATTGGTTTTTTTTTCAATTTCAGTTCCGAGAGTTGACCGACAAGAAACATCAAAAAGTATCGGACGTCGTAATAAATATGTATTTGTACGTATTGTCGTTTACAGTTAATAAAACGGTTGTGTTGGTTTTTTTTCTCATTTAAATATTTATAATACGTATAAGAAAATCTCGTTTATTTCAGTGCGAAATACGAAGCGCCGTCCAAAGAAGAGGGCGTTAAAGAAATAGTCAAAATTAATTTCGTTCCTCATTTCAAAAACCCAGAGCACGAAAAATTGTACAAAATGTATTTACTGTGATAAAATATGTAACGTGTGTTAGTATATTTTTATTTGAAAATTGTATTATTATTTATTTATTTATTATTATTATTATTATTTTTTTTTACCTTTATAGTTTGTACTGTTTCAGAAATTGTATATTCCTATTTAATGTTTAAAACTTAAAAAAAAAAAAGAAAGGTAAGTTTATATGACTTGTGTTTATTTTGTTTTTAAGTTTTATATAAATTTATTAGTTTTTTTTTTTTTTTTTGTTTTAAGAATTAATATTGTGATAGTTTTATACACTCGCGCTGTAACAATTGATAACTTACTAGAATAAACAAAATATACTTTTAGAAATTTCCCCCTTTTTTCAATCGTTTATATGAAAATGTTATGTTTAAGATAAAGTTCTTCTCTATACATTGTGAAAATATGGTAAATCTCTACTGTTAATACTGGCCTCCCTCACATAGTTTATTTAGTTATTTAATAATGTAATTTATCTTATAGAAATAATTATTACTGTAATAGTCTGACAAAATAATAGCAAACAAAAAAGTGTCCTCATTAATATTATAAGTATACCTTCTAAGTTCAAACTGTAAATTAAGGTTTTTTCGAAAAATTGTCTATGCTTTACTCCTTAGAAATGGCCTGGGTAGTGTCCTCTTAATACTGGTCATTATAAATATATTATATTTATACTGGCTAGTATGCTGCATAATAAATTTATATCTTGCTGTATTATAATAGATTAATGGTACAATATTATTACGGTATAGGGAATCGTTAAAACGGCTACACTGATTATACCGAACAATGTTGGACAACCTGTCAAAAACACCGTTATCGTTCAGTGATAACAGCAGTGTTTTTTTGGCAAAAATGTTATCTACCTAGTAAAATAAATAAAAAACAGGTTATATTTATTATTTATATATTATTTTGTAACTTCCTATACTTGTATAAGTTGTCCAAATTATCCGTTGAGAAGTGTGACTTTTGTTTTATAACACATTTTTTTATTATTTTTTTAAGTTATAGTTTGGTTTCCACTGTTTAGGAGGATTACGAAATACAGTATTTAAGTATGTCCACGGATGGCTTGTTATAAATTATTATTTTATTTCGATTAATTTTTTACTGATCTGTTTCGGTTTAGAATGTCTCTTGTCGCTTATGCAGACAGTGACTGTGACTCTGACGGAGATAATAGCACCGCAGAAGAAATTAATAAATCGGCAGCCGACACTAGTCGAGTAGACGTGAAATCGGCTAGTTGTAAATTGTTACTCAAGCTTCCCGAACCGAAAACCAAAGAAGAAACAGTTATCCCGACCGACGATAATGCAACTATTGGCGAAGTCAAAGTCGACAAAACTACTACTTCGGCAGAACAGATAAATACAGCTGCAAATAGTATTCCAGACAAGCAACTAGATAATATCTCTTTGTTACCCACGTTGGCGTTGCCTAAACCCAAATCTGGTGGTAAAATTCAAATAACAATACCTTCATTGAGTGATGTATGTTTTTCTTTTGTAAAAAAACAATATATGTTCTATCGTTTTTTTTTTTTTATAATAAACAATATGTTTTTTTCTTACGTTTTATAGTTTAATGACGACGATGAGGATTATCAGCCTAAACGAAAAATGATCAAGCCGTCAAACGTAAGTGATAATCTGAAACTTGGCTATCGCTACCGTTTAACACGAGCTCTAGTTATTGGCAATTTAATTTTCAGAGTGGATGCGGTTTATTTTCAATGTTACCCAATCCTAAAAATCAGAAGACTGCCAAAATAACGACAAACACTTCGATGGTTCCCAGACAAACCACTCGTAAAGTCGCCGTTCCTAAGCCGCCGCCCGTAAGTAAAAGTGCGGAAATCAAGCTTTTCGAAAAAACTCCTATCGAAGTGGACGAAGAGGAAGCCGATGACGACAACGAAGAAATGGACTTTTTAGGGTTGAACAAAATCAACGAAGTGTCCGACGCGGAACCTGTCGCCGGTTTCGAACTGCCAGAAGTTACGAGTGACACGTCGGTCATAGAAGAAGAAAAAGTATTCGGTCCTGTCTATTGTCCGGAAGATACTCGATCTGACGTTTACGAAGACGACGAAACAAAATTGATTTTAGATTCAAATGCGGTTTGTTCCTTCATTATTATTGTTATTCGTATGAAATAGTATATTCAGTGTTGCTTATTTTTTTTTTACGTCGTTCAAATTACAGTTGAAACAATTAGGCGATCGCGACAGGAACCCGATAAAACAAGTAGACGTCATCAACGTGAACATGAGTCAGGTGATGGAAGATTCGCAGCAGTGGCTACAGAAGAACATGACCGAAGAGTATGCCGAAAGTAGAAACATGGGCGACATCAATGTCACCGGACAGTCGAAACGCAAACACCAAATTACATACTTGGCTCAACAGGTGACAAACAAATTGAACTCTATCCACTAGTGTATATTGTAGTTTTTAGATTTGTAACCTTTTGTTTTTCTTTGTTTCAAATTTTTAGGCTAAAGCAAACGAACTGAAACTCAAAAACATGTGGGCAGAAAACAGAATGACCAAAAAGCAGACTCAAGCGAAATATGGATTTTAAAATCCAATCCTTATTTGTCAGGTTAGTAATAGAACTGTTTAATATTATGCTTATTCGATTAGACTTTTAATAGATCAAATTTTTAAACAAATATATCAAACACGCATTTTTTTATTTGACCAAATTAATAGTAATTATCCTATAAAAAAACTTAAATCAAAATTTTCATTTAGGCAGTTAACAATATCAGTAAAAAGGTGTTGTCCAGCTGTTTCTGTAAGCCTTTTTTTTTTCTTATTCGCAATACTCGATTGTCGTGAACAAAAATAATAATAATAAAATAAAGGCTAGTATCAGTTTAAAAAAATAAAAAAACCAACAATTCAGTTATGTATATTCAAGTAAATAACATAGGAAACTTGACTAGTATTGTATAACAGGACATTGGGATCACATAAAATATATAAATATTTTTTTTTTATCCTTTATCAATATTGTTTCCGTAATAAGTAGTCGCCGAGTAGAGTCATGGAAATAGCCCCGACCGGCGCCGTTATGATTATCGCCAACACGCTGATTGCCAGTACGTCGGACGCGTAGTTCACTTGATCTACGTTGTGATTACGACGAGCCATGTCCAATGCGATCGGTCCAATTGCCGCCTGTTTAAAATTTAATTGAATTTAACAAGTTTAAAGATTGTCATTATTATTATTATTATTAATATCAGTACTTGTACTGTGGCTTTTGGCAACCACGCTATGTTCACGAAGAATTTCTCGCGTAGATTGAAATTTGTATCTCTCAGCACAAAGAAACAAGTAAGGACTCTTACCTGAAATTTTATGAGAAAAAAATATATAGAGAAAATTTACTAAAAATAAAAAACAAATAAAAATTGTAATCATATGTTCACGACTTCGTTTTGATATTTCACTTACAAGCGACGTAATAATAAGAAGAATAGATGCCGATATGAGTAACGACGATTTCAAATTTGCTAAATTGATTTCCGTCCCGATGGATGCGAATAATATTGGCTCCAACATGTCCCACGTCTTGTTTACAATGTTTTCCACGTTTTCCTGTTATAGAAAGCGAAGAAATTGTACTTAAACGTGTCTGTTGGTCGACTATCGTTATTGTTATTATTATTATTTTTTACTCTACCATACATTATAGGAATTGTTGTTTTTCCAGCATATGTTTGCCACAAACGCAGCGGTCATCGCGGCCAAAGGACCAGCGCCGGAATAGCCGATGATCGTACATCCAAACATGAGCAATATGCCTCCACCTACGGCGATATAGGCTCGTTTAACGTTCAAGTTTTCCTTGTGAATAAATAAATAAGTTTTTTTTTTTTAACTTGAGCAATTATTACAAACTGTGTATATAATATATAAAATAATTATAAAATGTAAAATATCCAGAATTATTACTTCACATTTGTGCGGTATAAATCCAACGACGACACCCCAAATTATGCCGCAAAATAGACCTATGAGAACTTCTAGCGGCCCTTGCATTACGTTCAATTCCCAACTACCTGTAAACAATTTTTTTAAAAAACCCAGCGGGTCGCTTTAAAGTTATCGAAAAAACGCCACAACACTCATCGCGCACTGACTTGTAGAAAATATAATACTAAGGCACACGCCGAAGGCAGAAATACAGAATATATCGTCAAAACTGCACGCGGCCATTACAAGCGTAATAATGCCCTTGTCTTCGCCGAGACCTTTTTGCTTTAAAGACAACAACGTCGGCAAGATGACCGCCGAGCTGACCGGACTCAAAATGCATCTGTGTTTGGAAAATAATTAGACATTTTTACTATTTTTATTATTATTATTATTATTTAAACTTAATTGAAAATCATGACTCTTGTGTTTAGCCGGCAAATTATTTACCCGAGCAAAATTCCCCAAATCCAAGGCAACCCGATCAGATAGTGCGTGACGACTGCGGCGGCTAGCGTTTCGGTGATGCACGGCAATATGGCCAGTTGGACGACGACCAAGCTGAGTTTTCTCAACATGGCACTGTCGAGACTCAGGCCGGACGCTACGAGCAGTACGGTGAGGGCTATTTCTCTGCAACGCAAGACGGCCGAACGAGAATAAATGATGTTACAAGTATAATTACCGTTGCCGTCGGCTCACCTCAGTATGATTATGTATATCTGAAAGCTGTTGTTGACGTCGTAGTAACCAAAGTTGCTGAGCAGCACGCCGGCCATCAGCATGCCCATCATGGAGGGCATGTACAGTTGTTCGGCAATCTTGCCGCCGACCCACGAACTGGTGACGAGCAACGCGACCGATGCCAGCTGCGAACCGGCCATCTTGTTGTGGTCGAAGATCATGTACATTATCGCCCAAGTGATTACTATGCAAATCGAACTCGTCAGGATGTTGCACGCCGTTCGCACTTTGGTACCGCACTCGGTCCGACTGGAACATACGATAACATACGTCCCACGCCGGTTAACGTTTAATATGACCGGCGGTGTTCCTTAAGTATATATTATCGTACCAGGTTGATGGTTCAAATAATAATTAATTGTTATTCATTTTTTTTTTTTTTATAAAAAGTACATTTCAACACAACGGTAACAGAAAAACTGTCAAAACTAATCCTAATGAAATCCCCATTACGGTGAAAATAAGTCTATTGAACCTGTACAAATTTTGAACTTACTAAAAAATGTGCAACATTATATTTTTTCCATTAAAAAAATTGATATATTTTTTAATTGAATTTGTCAGATTTCAGATGTACCGTACTATTAAAATTGGCTAATAGCAATAAGATACGGTTAAAAAAAAAAAAAAAAGGTAAATGTTTTTTCCTTACATCATAAGTGCAGTGTAAATTAGACAGGTACTCACCGAAATGATATAATTCCATTTTCGTCCAACGAGTGACCATCAGACATGGTTGAATAATTTTGACGTTCGACTAGGAAAAAAAAGAAATTATAATTATAATAATATACCTACTGTGTTTTTCGAACGTTTGAACGATTCGGGAAATTGTTGTAAAAAAAAAAAAAAAATAACATTATTTTATTTAGACATATTTTTCATTAGAAATGTATCCTTGTTGTTGTTTTCGTTTTGAAAACTAACGTTTCGGGCACGTTTGAGTGTCATTTTTCAAAATGAGAACATCATTAAACGTATCTCAGATGTCAGTGTTTTCAATGAAAAAAAAAAAAAAACAAACAAAATACTAGATATTTGATTAACTAGATGGAAACGCAATACCTAATACCAATAATCCAACAAAAGCTGAACCGGGTGCGCAATTAAAACTTTTTTGTATTCGTTTATTTTTCATATGAAAACAAAGTATATATATATATATATAAACAGGTACTTATGATAATGTTTGACGAGTAAATTTCCCCGACGAAAACCAGCTTTGTGTACATTTGTATTGCATTTATTTTCCATAAATTTTGAATATACACACTGGGTAGAGGTACTTGGTCAATATTCAACCGAGTCAAACAAAATGATCAAATGCATAAAACAAATAACTGTGCACGCGGTGACCACATTTATAATATTAGTAAAATACTACATGGTGTTATTACAATAGGCTTATTCGTTGTCTATAAATAAGTAACATAATATTATTCGACGAATAAACACGGTGTTCGTCATCTATTTAAGTGTACATTTAATTCAAACATAAAATTACAAAATCTATTTTTATTTTACATATATTTTCCAAGTAGTATTAGTGCAAACACCTCGTTAGACTTGTGCTCTGTAAATTTATGTCGGATTAAAATCCTTATTCTGAAGCTTATCAAATAATAAAACGGTTGAAAAGCGTAACAAATAAAATGTTTAGTATCAACGTGTGCCCAATAACGATAATTGAATACTCCCTTAAAGACAATACATCCCTATATTGTATCATCATTATTTACAACCCCTAACATCCGTCTGAGTTACTGTACTGTGTTAATACATTTCTATTGGATTATTATATTAATGTTAAATGTAACAGACGCGATTGAAAAGAGGTATTTTTTTTTTTTTTTAAACATCAAAACAAACGATTAATGACAAAATATGTGTATTGTGTTATCTTTATGGTATTATACGTTCCATTTGTAATGTTGCAAGAAATCGTTGTGCAACTATATATTATCGATTGATTAAAATTTACATAATATTATGACAATGACATCTGGCAACTGAAGTGAACCACTCATCCGGCAAAAATACATTTCTAAAAACATATTTGCTCACTAGTTAAGCCTAAAAAAAAAATGTATGGATAATAATTAATAAACTATGACAACAGCAAAATCGTAGGCTAAATTATTCTAAAACGTTTTGTTTGGTTTGGATTAGGTTTGTTCGGCTTTTATTAATAAAAATATGTGTGAGAAGGTAGATTGGATTTCATACCGCATGAATTTGGAAAAAGTCTGTGTGTTCCTTTCTTGTAAATTTCAATTTTTTTCTTAAACTATAACAGATAGAAAGTTGTTGCTGAGCTCATTGTAAACAGCTTGTCGAAAATATACAAAATATGAATTGAAAGTTATTAGTGCGGATGGGAAGTGCACACATATAAAAATAATACTACACTCCACCTTTGCTCATGTCCTAAACTTAAAACTTATCTAAAATAGTTATCCAAAACTGGTTATCGACAAGTCAAAAAGTTTAGTACATTATTTTCAATTTAAAAAGTCAATGAAATGTCCGAGTTATCGTTTAAATTTAAAAATTATCGACCTGTTAAAATTTGTAGTAAAATATTCTATTAGTGAATGCAAGTATGAAATACTTAGAGAAACATGCTGCAAGCGTTTAATCGAAAAGTCTTTAATTAAAATTTATATTTTCCGAGAAAATGAGTGTGTTTCACACCTGTTGGACCACCCTGTGTACCGTGCAATAAAATATTATACCCATTTACTTGTGTTAATAATTTACAATATTTAATATTACCCAAAGTGGTGAAATCGCTGTGCAAAAATGGCCAAGAAACAAGTAGGATCAATTATCGTACCAAAAACGCCTAAGACGTTATTAAATTGAAAATTTCGAGCGATTAATATTTCTTATTATTTTTTTTTTATCAAATTAACAGGTTATAAGCTATCGTGAAAATTACACCAAAATTACCTGTTGTATAGCACTTTTTATGTTTACTTAATGTTATACTTTAATAACTTTATGAATAATTATATTCAAACCTGGTTATCGACCAGTGAAAACGTTCGGTAAATTATTTTTAATTAAAAAACAACTAATTAAATGTACGCGTTATAATAACTTTAAGTATTATTTTCGTTCGATAAAAACGAAAATGCTTACACATTGGTAATTGTTTTAAAATTTTTATATATCATCAAAAAATCGGGGAGGGGGGGGTCATTGAAATTTTGTAGAATGCAAAATATGAGATTATACTACTAACTGTAAATTTGTTTGGGTATTAAATATTTTGGGGACATTTTCGTGAGGGTAAGGGGTAGTTAAAAATATGGATTAGGCGGATATGGTGATATATTGATTAAAATCAATTTTTTCCTCTCGAGGCAGAGACATCGGATCGTTTGATCATTAATGGATCAGCTGGTTCCAGCTGTCTCTTACCAATCATCATCTCTCATCAGTTGTCCAAGATTTATCGATTTCCCCACTCTATTTTATTCCTCCCTAACCACCTAAACTTACGATCCCCTACCCTTTCTCTCTCCTTTATGTCACAAAAGCGTCATCGTTATTATTTTTTTTTGTGTTTAAATTTCGAAGAATGTAACGGACGATTGAGAAATCCATAATACACGTATTTTGACATTTATCTGTAGTTAGTAACAGTATTGTTACGGTTGAGGTAATCTCCTTGATAAACAAAAAAAAAAAAGTTTGACAAAAGCACATTCCAAACCAGTACAGTCCAAATTAAGAACAAGTTACAACAGTACAGTTAGAAATCACCTAAGTGGTGACTAGTGACCGCAAATTAACAGATTTTAATTTTATCAGTTTTCAAATTCAACCAACCAAAAAAAAACCTCTAGTAAAAATAGTTTTTTATTTATTTTTAAAAAAAAATTTACTGAGTATTTACAAAACATTTTTTTAAAAATCATTTTCCATTGTATTGCACATTTTTTTTTTTTAAATTAATAAATAACATTGCGCAGGTGGGCCCACCGAGGTTAGGATAGGTTAGATTTTAATTAAATAGGAAGGGTTAGGATTAGGGTGGACTATGTTTAGGTTAGATTTGGATTAGATAGGTGAATAAAAAAAGCCAGAACAGTGGGGTTAGAGCACAGTTGGGACGGGATGGTCACAGGTTTACAGAAATTATTACAACCGATTCGATGCGAGTCAGTAGTTAGTGTGTTCAAACCAAGCACAGTAAGAAAGTATTTAAGTGAGGTGCAGTGTTTTTACAAATAATTAGCATCAAAGTAGCTGCGGGGTCGAGGCATAATGGGACCAGAGCACAAGGGGCACGGAGAGGTCAACAGGAATTATTATTATTAATAAAAGTGATAAAACCACTTTCAAATAAACGCTTTGATGCTAATTTGTTCGTCGCAGACGTTTCTAGAAAGACGGAATCCGAGTAACAATAAAGTACATTAATAATAGTTAATTAAATATTATTTAATAGTAATAGTCTTTTCGTCACTCACAACTGGCACACCGTAAATGGAGGTTTAAATTCGGCCAAAAAATTAACACCTAAAACTTGTACTTTAGTACTCGATAATTACCAGGATCGCTCTAAATAGATGTCAATAAAAATATTGACATGGTTTGATCATTTTTCTTTGTTTAATATGTTAGGTTAGGTTAGATGCATACAAATGAGTTCTAACTCCTGGCCTAGTTTAAATATGAGACTATTGAAGTATGGGTTAGGTATACCAAATAAATATTCCTCATAAATTTCAACTCGAAATTATACAGCCGGTAAAAGTTGAAACTCTACAACTTTTATGGCTTTTTTTTTGGGGGGGGGGGGTCCAAATTTCAACTATAAATAAGTGAACTTTCCCCCCCCCCTCACAAAGTAGAAACTTGATAAAATTTGTTATTTACAGAGTTGCTACTCCAAAGAATTGGCCCAGTATTGAAAAGAGATACAGAGCGTATACAGACACCAAGAAAAAAGCCCACGTCATAGCAACAGAATCGGTGCTCCGCATTTAGACTTTGGAAACGACAAGAACGCAAGATTTAATCAAGACAAGCATTTCCACTGTAATAACGCCCTTTGCCCCTTTGCACGTCAATTCGGGTTTGTATTTACCAGGTTTTTTTAATAGTTGATGATCTGTACCGTTGTTATGTTTCGGCTCTACGGTGTCTCTCGGGTTATCATCCTCGTCGGGCACGGACTGATTTACTTTTAACGACGCGCCATCGATAATTGTTATTCGCACGTTATTGTTATCCATGATTTATTTTTCTTGAAATATTACACACACACACACACAGAGTCATCAACAATTTTATGTCACGGCAGCAATTTCGACGGATACCGATGTACAATATTCATTCAACGGTAACGTATGTATCGAAATAGGTTTTTAAATTAAAAATAATTCACTTAAGACCGGTCGACAAGTCACCGCAGTTTTGACGATTATTACATTAAAAGCGTCACAAGCGTTTGCAATTTTGCAATATTGTAGATCATGTACAGTACATAAGAACACATTAATACTTTTTTCAGAACGGAAATTTCTGCTGTGGCGTGAAATCTTAATGTATACACTGGAAAAATCACAATTTTAAACACAACCGCAAAACATGTGCAATGAACATATTATGTTAAACGTGGTACGCGGACGCTGAACGGGCGGTTAGTTTTGACTGACTGGTTGATATTGTAGCCGTATGGAAAATACGGTCAAAACTGTATAATAATAATAATAATTGTTTCAATTGTTTTATCAGCCGTTGGTAAATATTGTTTTTAGTTGTACTTCGTCCATTTTGTTTTTTTCCAAGACCGACTATTATTAATTGATTTGACAAAAATCAAATGCGCGTTAATTGCTGCTTGGGTTAAACTATGAGTAATAAAATTAGATAATATTATACTGTACGCAAATAGATTGTAATGAGGACAATAAAGAGAACCGTTAGTTTAAATTATTATCAGTTTAAAGACAAAAGACGATGCTGTGTAGTGCACACGACGTTAATATTATAATGTTTGTGTAATCTACTGGAGCTGTTATACACTATAATATTATAAGTGGTTATAAATAATTTTTGTGCACACTTACCATAGATAGGTCTATCCATTGTTGCTCGAAAGTGAAACAAGACCTGAAAATCAATTTTAAAATAATATTATGTACTTAATTTGATTAATCGAAACATTTTTGCTGCGGACAGTATTACCTATCTGAGTAATTGTAGCATGACTTTGACCTATTATGGGAAGTTGTCTAGTACAAAAAAAAAAACCATAATATGTTGCAAAATTTGCTAATTTTCCAAAGTATTATTTGTAAATATGTCAATAGAAAATATAATGGTCCCCAATATAGAGTAGTAGGTTAATGCGCCAATATAGTAGCTGCTAATAAAGTGTAATTAAAGAAGCTCTAGGAAAAAATGAGCTTAATTCAACCACTTCACTAGTAATATATATAAATATATATACATATATATATATATATATATATATATATATATATATATATATATATATATATATAGGGTGTAATATAAAGTTCTACCGAGCTTCAAATGAGACATTCAGGATGCTCTATGGATACAATAAATGGTATTCATTTTTTTTTAATTTTAAAACTGTTTAAAATAGAACTGGTATCTGATTAAAAAAAATAATTTCGGATTTAGAGAAAAAATCTTGTTGAATTGATAATGATGTGACACTTGCCATATTATGTTGGTTTTGGTCACATGCCGACCACTCAGTGGCCACAAATGTGGCCAGATACCAAAAAATCGTGTTACATATCAATTCAACAAGATTTTGTCTCCCGATTTCAAATCTGAAATTATTTTTTTCGTAAGACAATTTTTTAATGAGATACGAGTTCTATTTTAAATAATTTTAAAATTTAAAAAAAATGAATAACATTTATTGTACCCATAGAGCATGCTGAATGTCTCGTTTGAAGCTCAGTAGAACTTTACATTACATATATACCTATATATGTATAGATTTAGAATTGTCTATCGATCCGAGGCTTTACAAATGACTATAGCGATAATTACCTATTGTTATAGTATTACAATTATAGGAAATTAATTGTATTAATGTCTAGTTATTCTGTTCAGTACCGATAACTGATTAATAATTTGTATACTTAATTACTGATTTATAATTTGTATATTATATGGTAATGATATTTTTATGATTATAAAGTTATGCGATAGGTAATATTGTATTGTCTAAATTCGATAAAATATAATAAATTTCCCAAGCTAAAAATATAATAATATCAAATGCATTTCCAAGACTTAATCGTCTTCAATGCGATTTGGTGGCAATCTATTTCTTAAACCGATTAGGTGTGATATTTTCTAGTAATGCATTTGTAATACTTATTGTTTTTGTAAATGTCTAACTTGAATTGAAGAGTGAAATTGTCAACCGCGCTTATTAAGTGCCAAAGGATAACACGTTTAAATGTATATTCATTTGATTCGTCAATTTTTTAGTATATTTTTAAATGTCTAATATGGTTGTTTGTTTATAAATTATAAATAACTATTATATTATTGCTCACTCGACAAACGTACCAGATATTTTCAACGATAGTGCTTGAAATATACAATTATAAAGCTAAGTTTTTATTCTTTGACACGTTTAGAAGTCAAAACGCCAAATAGAAAGTGAACAATATAACTTGAATACAACATGAAGTAAGGGGGCTACCTACTTTCCATGTCAGTGACGATGAAAAGAATGTTCTTTTGAAGTTGTTTTAAACAAATATTTTGGCATAAAATGTATTTTGAGTTTTAATTGCCTTGACATATCTTTTTTATCGGTTTTTTTATAGTATTTTTGGCCATCAAAACAAAAAAAAAATTTTTTTTAAAACCAGTTTCTTATGTAAAATAATTTCAGCTTTTTGAAAAAAATATTGATTTGTCTAATATTTTTTTCCAGAAAGCCGAAAAAATGTACATAAAATGTGTCAATTTCAATTTGGGATTTCCATAAAAACGCTTAGAATAAAAAGGGAAATTATCTTGTTTTTACACAAAATTATTACATCTGTTTTGAATACTGTGGTCGGGTTTTCCTGTTTTTTAGACCTTTCTATGAATTTTGACATTTTGCTAAAGGTTAATAAATTGGGTATACTTTTGATATTATACTGATATCTATATCAATTTACACTTAAAAAATTAAAAAAAAACAAAACATTAATTATGTTATATTACAAAATCAAATTTATTTTTTTTTATAGTTGCAAATCTATTTACGACACCATCAAAATATAAGCGACCCATTTTCGTTGTCAGCCTTGTTTTGAACGTGTTTAACAGTATAATAAAAAGCTGCAAGTTTGAACTATTTATTGTAATTATCAAGAACACTGGACATATGATACGACATGATAGATTAGTAATTGTTCATAGAAAAGGAGAACTTGTGAATAGATACCAGAGATATTAATAATTAGAGTAAGAAACTTGGAGAAGCAGTCTGCAGTAGTGAGAACAGCTAAATTAATCATTTAAATACAAAATTTCCCAAACTCAATTTTAAGAATCACACATTATTATACAAGGCCAAACTCGTGCAATCGAAGAATTGGGGCGTCGACTAGACTTTAGTCGATAAACAAAAGAAGAGGTTAGGTCTGACAGATAACCAACGGCCTCTTGTCGAGAATACTCTTTAAGTAAGTATTTGAGTACTTATTCGAATAAAGTGATCTCCTCCCCCCCCTCTCCTTCATGTATACTTCAATTGGTTTTGGAAAACAGTCTGGGCATCAAAAATTATTTTTGGTTTACCACGTATGTTTGATTTATCGTGCATAGATATTTTTTAAGTGGATAAATTACTGGGCGTGTATCATTAATTTGACGTTATAGTTTTTTTAATTAAACGGATAAAGCTGTTGTTGTCAATCTCTGTTACGAATTCAGCTGAAATAAAATGTAATTTTATCTTTTAACAAATAATAACCAATTTCGATACGAGTAAACGCAATAATTAAATATTGCCCTTGGCTGATTCAATTTAATCAACAATAAAATATGTACGTTAATTAAATTTAATCGTAAAGTTCAATTATACATATATAAGGCCAATTTATGGCAAATATATTATATACTTTCACTGCGGATATTCGATATTATGAAATTTTATTAAATATTTGTTTAACGCATAGTACGTCCGATTGCCTGAAATCTAATATGCGAATCATAAAATTGATACTCATTGTGTGGAACGTCAAACCCTTTAAAAATAATATTGAAAACGCGCGGTCGAGGGCAAGTAATCGCTTCATTAGGAATTGTATAATATAACGTGTAGTGTGATTTGTATTTTTAGCTAATTAGCCTCTGATTTTGAAAAAAAAAAAGGGTTATGAATGTATTTTTTTAGTCTCTCGATTATTACTGGAAGCGTGGCCGCCATTTTGTATCATGGAAAAGTGTGACTTGGCGTTTTTACTTTCCATGAAATTGGTACACAAAATGGCCGCCATACGTTTTTCCCAACTGAAAAAGCGTTCCATATTATATATTAAATTATCGAGTTCAGCGATGGCTACATGTGTTTTATGAAATATAATATTAACCCTAAAAGTGCTACATAAATTTATAACACAACATATTTGAACAGCAATAGGTACAAAAACGTGTAGGCAGAGTTGAATAAACCTGTATCTAAATAATCATCTTAGTAACACATTATTCAAATAAGAGTTGGTATATTTATTTTTGAAATTATTCGAATAATATAAAAAAATATTATTGAAATAGTTTGTAAGGGCTTTTTTCAAGTAATTATATTTGAAAATACCATTTCGTATAAATCTAATATATATTATACACTTGGAAAATGTACAAAACCAGTAAAATATGTAAGAAGACAACTTTTTATTCAAATAAATTTTAAAAAATTACATTGTCATATTTTACTTTTCAATGGACTGGAAAAGATTTGGGCGTATAATATTAAGTCAATCGAATTTTTCAAAACTATTTTTTTTTTAATTTTTGTTCATGCTGATTTTAGGGGGCCGAATATTTACTTTTGAAGTCATAAGCATATAAACTTCATTGTTATTATTATTTATATACATATTTTGCCACTTTAAAAGTACTTGAATTAAGTTTTGGCTTGTAACTTTAAAAGCAAGTTCGACCGCCAAAGCAAATAATAATATTATATTCTTTTGTGTATTATTTTTCTATTTCAAACATTTTATATGGTGACAATTTCACTGCCAATGTTTATTCTCAATTTGATTCCTGTTATAAGAACACCTATTTTATTTTAAACAGATTTTCATTTATGTTTAAATTTAACTAATAAACTTTTGATGGGTAATCGTGTGCATATTCGTTTTAATAAGTACAATATAATTAATATTGTGTATATGTATTATTAAAAAATAATACTTTCTACAAAAAATGGAGTAGGTATTAAGGAAAAACATTATGTAGGTACTTACTGTATTATCATGCTTTAACGTTTGCTATCGTTTAAAGAACGGTTTCAAGCACACTGAGTTTACTCAGATATTCTTCTGATTCATTTACCAAAAAAATATATTTATCTAATTCAGAAAGCTCTCTAATATTATAATATTTCAATTAGTTTTGGAAAATAGTATAGGTGGGTAACATTATGTTGTGCTATTCGCTTGTTACGTTTGTATAGTGCCATCTGTCGGTTTTTTTTAAATTGAACTATAAAAGGATTTTCTTTCCATATATTATACAAAACAACAACAACAAGTTATCAGCAACGGTCGCAGCTGATTTTGTCACGCAAACATATTTTTATCTATGGCTGTTATCTAGTGTTCGGTTATCACACAATATAATATTAAGAAGAAAAAAAAAATACATCAAAGAAAAGATATTATCTAGCAAATTTTTATTATTATTATTATTTTAATTACTCATTCATCGCTATCCGGTTTTTATAAATACAATAAAACTGCTATTGCTAATCGTTTCGTTGCAACAGACAACAGTTGTGGTGGTCGCGTTGAAGTTCTTATGGATTATTTTATCACGGGAATTTACGAAAGAAGAGCAATGCAGCATTGATGAACCGTTTGTGATTTTTATATATTATTTTTAAACCAACCTATATGGTACAATGGACGCTGCGGGTGGGCACAGTAGTCAAGTGGACAGCGACACGTCCAAATACAACGAAGAAGACGGCCTGGATCCTAGAATTCAAGTAATATCACTAATGATGTTTCCGGCACAAGATTATGGCAATCTAATTTGGTTTGTTGTTGTTTCTTTCAGTTGGAATTGGAAAAATTAAATAACGCCACGGACAACATCAACAAGCTCGAAATCGAATTGGACGTAAGTAACGCCGCGGTGCCTACTGCCTGATCGCAAATACGCAAAAATAGAGAAACGTTTATTAACCACGTCGTGTATATTCTACAGGAAGCAAACACGACGTTCAGAATGTTGATGGCGGAAGCGTCTAGACGTCTGAAAATCAGAGCTCGTAAACTGGGTTCTTGCATCGACAAAGCGCGGCCGTTTTACGATGCCCTCAACGTGTCCAAGCACGCGCAACAACAATGCCAAATTGCTGCCGTCAAGTATCAACGAGCTAACGGTGAGATATTTTCTTATAAAAACAGCCCCGCTCAAATAATCCAAATATTATTCGTATGTTAAAAACCATATCTATAATTGTACTTTTGTAATTGAAAATTGGGCGTGTCGACCGCCGCAACTCTTTTGTTTGAACTCATTTGCGTTTTTCCCAACCCAAGTGTTGCACCGACGGTACAATTGTGTTAATTCATATATATATGTATACATTTTTTTAGTTTCATTTGGATATTTTCACTTATTGTTACTTGGGAAAGGCAAACCTTTTGAGCTAAGCACTACGTTGAAATGTTTAATACCTTTGTAAAAGTATACCTTTGTTACAAACAAAACTTAGAATACACAAATAAATTATACATATATAATTATAACAATACAGAGTATAGTAAAATAGGTTTCTTACTTGTTTGAAGAATAGTTGGTGTGCTGAACGAATCGCTTGGTCGATTTATAAAAAAAAGTACACTACTAGTTTTTGTCACAGAAAAATCAAAAACGAATAACATTTATTACAGTACTGTGCTTATACCTACTCGACGATACAGTATTTTAGACAAGAAGTCGAGAAGTGGTTTCTTTATCTTATCACGAATTACTTAGCCGCCTATTAGGTAAACTATATTGGGAAAATTCTTGTTGTCGTTAGATATCTAAGTGGGTGTAGAGTTTTATACCGACACAAATATACGTATACGTTTTCTCATTGAAGAACAAACATATTATTATAATGATTTCAATGTTTACTTACTCTTCCCATCTCGCAGTACTTGAACGCGTTTTGTTTGAATGATATTGTAATATGTTAATAATGAATCATTGTGATCAATTATTTCAGATAATAATATGATTCAGTTTACAAACCCAGTCGTTCTTTTAATTATTGTTTATTTTTAAACAAAAATCCAAATGGTTACTAAAAATAGAAATGTATCTAAATGTAAAATTCAAATAATAAATACAAATGTATTAATTTGAACAAACTAATTAAAATGATTTAAGTACAATTTTAACTGTAAATATGTACAAAAATAACAATAATTAAAGCAAACAAATTGAATCGAATAAATGTTAAAATAAAATAGATGTATATTTAAACGGACATGTTACTCGAAACAGTCCAATAATAATGTAATTTAAATAAAACATTATTTTTTGATGCGCTGAATAAAATTGTGTTACAAAGAACTCATTGTTTTCAAATAATAGTTAGTTGCTTGTCATAGAAAAATGCCTAAGTTTGCAGCTGTAATAATGTTTTTGGTAATATCCAAGTAGACAGTTACAATTTCTTTTAACATGTTTTTTTTAAAAATTGTAAAATAATTTTTTTTTTCTTATATATAATATGTATAATAACATTTGCGATAAAGTTTACAGTCAATCATAATTTAAATACATAAAACACTTTTGAAAATTTTAAATATTTGATATTATATTAGGAAATCAAAAATAGTCCAATGAAGTCAATATTTTTTCAATGCATTTCTTAGGTACGTCTTAATTAATTTATAGTCGACAATGAAACATCTGTCGAGTTATTCGAATACGACTGACAATTATTTATAACGTGTTAAAAAAAAATATACACTTAAATACCAGTCATCGAAACGACAATTTATGCCAAGTTATTAATCCATTAGTTCATGGCCAACATTAATTGATTAAATTTTATTTTACAGAAATTCATCAAGCAGCCAAAGAAACGGTGGCGTTAGCCGAGGCTCGATTTCTAAGTAAACAACACGAGTGGAAGTTCGATAGTGCGTGGCAAGAGATGTTGAACAACGCCATTCTCAAGGTAATTAATAAATAATTCATTTATAATAATATGTTTGGCTATCCGTTGTGTGAAATGGCGATTAATCCAAATGGAAACCACTTTCAGGTGACTGAAGCAGAAAATCAAAAGACTGAAAGCGGCCGCGAGCATCAAAGGAAAGCTGCGCTTTACCAAGCCGCCGAACAAAAGGTAATATCGAAACAAAGAAAACAAAATGCATTGTTGCTGTGTAATTCAATATTTTTCAATATCAGGTTCAAATGCTCGAACAAAAGTTCAAGCGCAGCATCATCAAGTCTCGGCCTTATTTCGAAGAAAAATATCTCTGCGAGGGTCAATTGGCTGCCCAAAAGGATACGATTGTTCAAATTCGATACGCCGTGCAACGCGCCAAACAAGAGTACTCCGCTTGTTTGCACAGGCTGGAACAAATTTCCGAAGAAATTCACGTGCAACGACAAAACAATAAACTAATGGTACGAACCTGATGTCCGTATTAGTAGACTTCTGAGCTCCTTTTGGCATTCGGCTAATTTGTGTGGCAAGCGTTTGCGCTGGCTCGACATATGTGCGTACTAGTTTTTAGTAACAAAACTATTTTTTCACGAAAACAGGGTCCGAGAGAACCCGGCGTTGGTGCCGAAGTGTCGTCGATGGCCAGTAGTTGGCAAGAATTGAATAGCAAAAAAGATGGCAACGGCATGGAAGAAATCAATTTGGAATGGAATTTGGACAAATGCGATTCCCGAAGTCTTGGCAGTCTTTCGATGGACACTTGCTCGATACTGAGCGACGCCGACGATTTGGACTTTGAAGACGACAGCCGAGTAACGATGGTAGGCACCGTGGTAATTACAATTATTATAATTGATACGGATTATAGTTTGTAACGATGAGCAACTCGTGTAACGCAAAGGGTGGGGTTTTCCGTAGGAATTGGAACAGCTGCGTCAAAAAGTCAGAGATCTCGCCACCAAACCGTTGATGATGGAAAGCAAGAGAACCGAAGAGGTCGAAGGCGTCGAAGACCGCGAAGGCTGGGAGACCGAACTGAACGCGACCGTCGATAAGCTGGACAGGATGATGTTGAAACAGGAATGTGAAAAATCCCAACAACAATCGCCCGTTTGAACTCTGCCGGTGGTTTTTTTATATTTTTTTTTTAAATCAAAAGGTTTTTATGTCTTTATCATATGTGTTCAGTCCGGCTGTCCAGATTGTACTGAACGACACTAAGGTGAGACAAACGTGTAGATAGATAACCGTACACCTTATTGTCGACGATCGTTATGTTCTTCTACACCTTATATAAGTAATAATATTTAGAATATTAAAATATCAACACCTAATAATGATATTATGTCCTGTGTAATTCACCGCCTTTTTGTTTTTTTTCCATTTGGAATGAGTATTTTATAAATCAAGGTAACTTAGTCGATAAGAGCACTAGAGTTTAAGAGAAACAAAAATACGTTATTATTATTATAATTATGAGATAATAGCACTGAGTAATGATGGTCTATACTCGTCGGACCCCACTGTGGTATTAGGTAGTCTAGTTGAAATGGGCAGCACGCATTCAATGAACTCGAGTATTGGAAAGCAATATTTTCCCCTATCGATATAACTTCCAATGTGACGTAGTAGTCAACGTATCGAGTACACGTAATTTATTATGTCTAATATTTATTTTCAAATCGAGTGATTATTGTCTGTTTTTATATGTTTAGTTTAATTTCTCGATCTTTAATTTTCTACACTACAGCTCGTAACGGTAATATTATTGTAGTCGTGCACGAAAAATTGATTTCTTTATTGTTAATGTACATAGGTAATAATATATTACATTATATTATATTAATTCCTAACGCCATTCTATAATAGGTAATAACAATAGTACATATTTTTGATTTTTTTAAATTTATTTTATTTTTATAATAATTTATTTTATATTATTTTAACATAGTTTATAAACTACTACAATGAAAAACAATAATATAATTTATATTTATTTTACTGATAATAATATGTTGAAATATTTATATATGTATATAGGTAAACCATAGTTTAAAAAAATGTCTCCAAAGTTTCTTCTGTGTTCCTCCCGTTGTCGTTTAGTTGTAGTTCCTCCGCATTCTCGAATCTGAAAATTAAATAAATAACCACAAACGACATTCCATTATTATTAGTCAAAACATAAGACGGAGATAATATTATATGAACCACAAATAGAAGTCCAATTTTAGTGGCTCGTTTTTGAAGTAATCGAGATTTATTAATGGAAACGTCTCGAGCATACTAATAATAATATAATTATAGTATTAATCTTAATTATGTTCCAATTAAAAATTGAATGAGAACAAAATACAAGGCCACTTAAATGAATACAATAATATTATGAAGTACATCTATCGAGTAAACAATAAAACATCATGGAGGACTATAATTGTATCAAACGGATGTAAGTTTTTAATCGAACTTCTGACATTTATTACTGTTTGACATTTGATAAATATTTTTTCGGTGAAACAATTATGAAAAAATCATTAATGTTATCACAAGCTGAACGGGGCACTGTTGTTTCAACGTGACATAATATAAATGCTAAATATTTTAAAACAATCATTACGGATTAGACATTTCTAGTGTTTTAGGACCTTATATACTAATATCAATTAATTCGAAGAAAAAAGTAAGGGAGACGTCATGTCCTTGTGACATCTCAGAAACATTTTAGTTTTGTGTGAATAAAATTGAGCAATTTAAAAAAAAAACAAGGCAAGTAGGCAAAGTTCTTATATGATACTCCATAAGAAGAAACGGAACGAAGATAGCGGTTTGTGCGAAACTTGTGTGACCCAACAAGATGTCTGCTTGGCACCACTTTTGCAGGCAACAGATTGAAGGTAGAATTGTCTATCACCTGGTGGTGTTACTTCAGATTGTGTGAAAAATGTAAAGTAATTGCAAATTATGTGTTTAGTTGTGTTTTAACATTAGCCAGTACTGAAATTGTTTTGGCTTTTTTGTTTTTTCCAGAGCTTTGTCAACTTTCAAGTCGAACACGTGACATTTTATTTCCTACAGTTATTCGTTGACTACACCTAGTAATAATAATTATTATTATTATTACTATTGCAAGGCCAACCTGAGCTTTGTTTTCTCGACGCTGTCGTTTTGTTGCACCGTTCGTCGTCCACGTCCGTCACGAAGTGCACCGGTGTCATGGTCATCTTTCTGGACGGCTTGGCAGCAGTCATCGGCAGCGTTTGCTGGTTGGATATGTAAGATATTTCTACAGTCGAAAGCAAAATGAAATAAAAAAAAATCAGTGGGACTTTGATCCTGGAACAGGTCATTCGGATTGGAAACTAAACTGGTAAACAAATTTGAGAAGGGGCGGCGTGGCGTTGGGAGGAAATCGATAGTCCCGGATAATCGATAACAATTGATGATTGAGATGAATAGGTACCGCACTAGGCTGTTCGGTCAGATCTCAAGCAAACTTAAGGGATGTCTTACCGTAGGATTTGTCGAAGAGCCCGTGTATTTTGGCGTGATCCGGTGTCTCGTAACAATCGCTCTGGCTCAAAGCCCTGGGGTGTGTGGGAGTCCTGCAGGACGAAGACGAAGCCGTTTGCATCACACTGAAAGTGGCGTACGGACATACGTCATAGTTGATGTTTTTTTCGTCGGTGCTCATGCATTTTTCCATCGACTGTTGTCTTTTCCTCAACGTGGACGAGGCGAATTCCACCGGCCTGTCCGATTCGTAACTAGACTTCCTCTCGATCGCACTGCCTCTGGAATACTGAGGTTCTTTTTTCCTGTTGATATTAACCAAACGAAATTGTATAAACTATGCTTTGAATCTTAGCGCCTAAATCCGCTCTCGAATAGGTCGGTGGGCTAAGCTCACTCCCTCGACTATGTGTTCAGTCCACAATCGTCAATTTGTCTACTTCACATAAACGTCTCCATAAGTAACACCCACTCACTCGTTCTTCGACCCATCCCATTCTAAATCCTCTCCACCGTCTATTACTACATTCCTACATCAGCTGCTTTCGTTCAGCTCGCTCAAACCAACTCTCAAAATCAGTCTATGCTGTGTGCAGTTACTTTTTGCGCATTCCTATTACTGAACCTAACCTAATGCAATCAAAGTCGTTTAATACTGCATCTCTCTCTCTGCTAGAATGCGAAGCTCATCACTCGTTTCCGTTTATCATCTCTAGCCTTATAACAACACATTAGGTTTTTTTAGGTTACCATAGTTATTTTTCTTTCACACTTCACCAAATTGGAATCAACCAAGCATGCGAGTCTGCTTGCAAAGTTCTTATTAATTTATTCACCTACAAATTCGATCTCTTTCCAACGCAAATTCATATAATTTTGCATTTTGAAGCAGCACTCTACAGTGTTGGGCAACGTAGAAACTGTTCAAATTACATAATACATAATCCTAATCAATAGGTGCTTAACCTTGTGGGTCTGTAAATGCATTGTTTCTTTGTCAAGAATGTTGTTTTAAATTTTGTAATGCACCGAAATGTAATAAAAAACATTAAAGATTGTCGTATTGGTAACTATAAGTTGTAAAATATATTATAATAGCTGTTGTCACGGCAAAGTGCGTTTTACACGCTGACAAAGTCAAAACTCGAGTGGTACTTGAGTTAACATCATTCCCACGTCAACTGATTACAGATTAGTATTTAAACAGATATTTTAATACGCCATATAATTCACTATTCACCGAACCGAGCCTCGGTAAGGTGATCTATTTGGTTTAAGTTTTCCAATCAATCTCGTGCTCCTTATTTCATACAAACGGCGAATTGGCTAGCGAAATTCTCATCCGTCATTTGTTGGTCGCACACTTTCTCAAGTGTTATGATTCGAATCGTCTAGGTACTTGTTTCTAAGTCAGTCTGCTGTTAGGATAGTCAACACTGATAACACACACACACAAATCATCCTATCCCGCACATAATAAATACCTACATTTTATACACCATGTTTACCTTTTTTGGATCACCACGAAGATGCAGACACAAAATGACAGAATACAAACAAGCCCCGAAGCAGCCGGTACATATTTGTGAAACTGAGCGAAGCTTTGAACGATTCCGTTATTGTTGATTGGGACCGGAACTATGCCTGAAATATTTCAAAAAAAAAAAAAACAAATAGTTATTCTTGTTTAGCAGTTCGAACACCGTAGACGAGGTCAGTTCGAGACTATTGAGAAACTATTAAAATAATAGCAATTTGAAGACTTTTCAAAGACTTTTGATCATCATTAAAAGATTATAAACAATTTACTGTCGAGAATAAAACCGTCCTTTTAATGTTTCATCCGGGGTCTCCCAAGGTTACCATAATGTTGTTTACATTAATGAAATAAAGTCATCGAATGTTTCTTTCCTTTTATTTGCGGATAGGTTAGGAGAAGCTAAAATGTTTTTTTAACTTATAAATAAATAAGACATATAAATTCAATTTTTTTTTTTTTTAATAACCCTTAAAACGCATTTTAAACTAGATAAAACTTTCGCAAAACTTGTCGTTATAATTAAAATATATTATTATAAAATACTTAAATAAACCAGCCTGTTTTATTGTTATTTTTCGTGTTTGATAGTCTATTTTAATATTTAACTATTTTAAAAACACATTTCGTTTGTCTTATTTGCTATGATATCAGCTGAATAAATAATAAAATATATGTATTAAATTATTTTCACTTTAACACGAAAAATATGTACAGTTTTGTGTCTATTAATGTGTTGATCAAAAAAGTATTTCTTTTTTTGTTAAAGCGAAAAAACAATACATATATATTGTTATTTATAAACAACTAACCATTACAGTTCATATCAAGTAGAGTGTAAACCAGCACAGCCTAAACCAGTACATTCCAAGCTAATATAGATTAAACCGGTAGAATATTAATCAAGTTACATTCTAACCAGTTCATTGCAAATCAAGTACAGTTTAAGCCATTGTAGTGCAAACTAGTACATAAAACCAAGCTCAATAAACCAGTACATGGTTTAAAATGTACTGAATTAGGCTGTACTTAGCTTATAATCCTGTACAAATATCACAACTCGTTTATAATAACGAATTATTAACTATATCATGTATGCGCTTTGATAGTGCTTAAAATGATGGCACAAAAAACAAACATAACCCAACATGTGTTTAAACAGTTTGTTCTAACAGGTATAATAGTGACAATTAAATTAATGTGTCTAGTGTCTACTGTAGCAGCAAGTCAAAGAAAATGTTTATGTACTCTTTATTTGTAAGTAGAAATCTTAAAAAAAAACATCATAGTTTCATTTTCGTATTTATCGATTAGATTAGTGTACTAAAATTAAACAAAAAAAAAATCAGTTTACTTCATAGTATGGAAATGTTTTTCAACGTCTTTATTACTTTATTGGTTTCAATTTTGGTATTTGACGATCGAAAACATGTTTATTGTACCGACGAACACAAAACCATTGACGCACTTAATAAGATTTTGGAATCTTCGGGATGGGAAAAGATTAGCAACTGGCGAGTCCGATTCCCTGGTGAAGTGTACAACTCGTTCTCGGTAAGTAATTTATTACAGAGAAACGGTGCGGAATTCGACCAAATTGTAAACGTTCAGAACTACAAGAGAAAATACGACATGATTATTTATTCGTTGTCTTGTGTGTACGCAAATGCGTTGGTAAAATTTATAAATTTGACAAAAGTTATTTTACGTCTCAGCACATTGGAAAGACATCGCTTAAGCACAATGAGGTCACGGAAAAAGTCGCGCGAATCAGCCGAGCCAACAAATAAAAAGCGTTCATCAGACGAAGAACACCAACAAGGCGATGAAGACGGTCTCGACGAAAAAAATTACTTTGACGAATCGTCTTCTAGTCAAGATCCGGATGATTTAATGGACTCCTGGAAAATATTTAACTGTGCAGTGAAACAATTTAAGACAAATTGGTTGATGTTCGAGTACATGGATGAAGCGTTGCGTTTCTTACTTGCACTGGTCCCGCAAGAATATTTCAAAACGTTACCGTACAACAAAACAAATTTTGTTAGCACCTTGTCGTTGTATAAATTCGTATCTACAGACATAACGGTAGTACTGATGGGTTACGTTGGGGAAGAAGACAACCGCTACAAAGAGAAATTTCGGGAGCTAAGCAGAACATTTTCCGGATTTCTCAACGCTACGCAACCGTTAGACAGTTTTCTAAGCAACTATTGTATTATACCGGACAACGATAAACCGCCGAACGTCGAAGAAAAATATGTATCCAGAGGTCTTTTCAATAGAAAAGCGACGCGAACTTCGATAGAAGACAAATTTGACATCGTACAACAATTGGAAAGCCAAATCAAAACGCTTGTGAGCGAAGTCACTCAAAAATACTTTAAAGATTTAGGTTTCGTGTATGATTTTACGAACTAGAAAGACTACAATATAGGTTATACATACAGTTATAAAAAACCCTAAAATTTCAACATTCTTATATTTCGGTTTTCCAAAAATCTAATTTTACAGTTAATGTTATTCTTCAATCACAATATAAATTATAATTATTCGTAATTCTGTAATGTCATATTATAATATATATATATATATTTAAAAACCTAATTTGGAAAAATAAATATCGTGTTTCTTTTTTGTGTTAAAGTGAAAACAATGATACTTATATTTTGTTATTTATTCAGCTGATATTATAGCAAATAAGACACATTAATTTAAGTGTCGCTATACTGTTATAACCAGATGTTAAAAACACATTTCGCAGTTAATTAAAGTTTTAACGTGTACAAAGTTGTTTGTTTCAAATAATATATTATAACATAATATGAATTATTATTTTCGCGAATACAGATTTAAGTTTATGTTGGGATGAATTTTTTTTGTGCCATATATTTGAGAATTATCAAAGTAAATGCATGATATATAGTTAGTTATTTGTTATCTTAAACGAATAATTATATATTCACAGGATTACAAACCAAGTGCAGTCTAAACTGTGCTTAATTTGTACTGAACTGGTCGAGATGAAAATATTTTAGGCTACATCGTTGCCAACAAATAAAAATCTGTCTACATGTTAAACCTGTCATGAAATTTAGTTTTCTTGGCCGGAAGTCGAAGTTTGTTTTCCTACTTCTGACCTAGTCAGAACGCTTATATGTTATAATGTATACATGTATGTTACATTACAAAATAGATGAACGTTAGAATGAAAAATATTATAAACTTAGTTATCCGGAATAGTTTATACGTTTATCTATTTTGTAGTCTCTCTAGTTCGTGAAATCAAACTAAAAACATTTTTTGACATTTTCATGTCTTAGCTCTGGCACATAACCGAAAAAAGCGTTACCAAAAAAGCGTAACGAAAAATTACCACACGGAGATGGGGTTGGGGGTGGGATGGGGTTGGGGATGGGAATTAGCTCTGGCACATTACCGAAAAAGTGTTACCAAAAAAGCGTTACCTACGCTGTTATTTGATAAGAGATAAGAGATATGTTGCACCTTCAATGTTCAAATTAGAACTAAATAATAAATTCAAAATAGTCCAATTTCTCTATGAATTGTTTTAAGCCAGATATTAAAAACTACAATATTAGCCAGAAACTTGATGTTTTAGTGTACTAGCCACCTTAGATACTAGCTTGTTACTGCTTGTTAATATACTATATCATTATTTCTAATTCTACCACTACTCTAAATTTATTTGGTAATTCAACGAGACATGAAAATGCTCTTTCGTGGTTGCAGACTCGTCTGAAAAACATCTTTTTACTGTTTCATCCGGTGTCTTCCTAGGTTACCATATTATTGTCTACATTATGAAATAAAGTCATCGAATTTTTCTTTCCTTCTATTTGCGGAAACATTTGCATGAGAAATAAATAGTATCTCTAATGCACATTGGTCTCCACGACGACATTAACCGTTTATTTCGCTCTTGAAATTTCCTTATGACGAGTCGCGATTTATTCTGTTTAATATTGGTGTCATTAATCTAACAGATAAATGCAAGAGTGAAGCTAAGATACTATTTTGACTTACATAGACCAGACATATAAATGTATTTTTTTATTATTTTTTTTTTAATAACCGATAAAACGCATTTTAAACCAGAAAAAAACTTAAGCAACACTTGTGGTTAAAAATCTATGAACAAAAAAGAGTTAAATACGTAAACAAACAAGTCTGTTTTATTGTTATTTTCGTGACTAATGGTCTATTTAAATATTTAATAATTTAAAAAACATACTGTTTGCCTTATTTGCTATGATATCAGCTGAATAAATAAAAAAATGTATGCATTATTATTTTTGTTTTAACACGAAAAGAAATAAGGTTATGTTTTTCCCAAATAAAAAAAAATATTTCTAAATACATATTTTATACTACGATTTTACAAAATTATGAATATTTATAATTTGTATTGAGATTAAAGTGTAACATTTATTGTAAACGTTTTTTTGTATGTATTCGAACGCTTATATGTTATAAACTGGCTTACACTACAGCATAGATGAACGGTAGAATAAATAATATTAAAAACTTAGTTTTACTGAAAACCAAATACAAGAATGTTGAAATTTAGTTAATATATGTGTAATCTATTTTGTAGTCTCTCTAGTTCGTGAAATTATAAACAAAACCCAAATCTTTAAAGTATTTTTGGGTGACTTCGCCTACAAACGTTTGGATTTCGCTCTCCAATTGTTGTACGATGTCAAACTTCTTTTCTATCACAGCTGGCGTCACTTTTTTTCTGAAAATATCTTTGGATATATATTTTTCTTCGACGTTAGGCGGTTTGTCGTTGTCCGGTATAATACAATAGTTGCTTAGAAAACTATCTAACGGTTGCGTAGCGTTAAGAAAATAAGAAAATCTTCTGCTTAGATCGCTAAATTTGTCTTTGTAGCAGTTGTCGTCTTCCCCGACGTAACTATTTAGTACTAGTGTCATGTCTGTAGAGCCTTCTTTATAAAACGACAACGTGTTAACAAATTCGGTTTTGTTGTATGATGTCGTTTTGAAATATTCTTGCGAGACCAGTTCTTGTAAAAAACGCAACGCTTCATCCATGTACTCGAACATTAACCAACTTTTC